ATTTATTTCGAAAAGAAGCCTACATTTTGCCAACTATCTTTTCTAGCATTCAGTTTGATTTTATACATATATGTCATCTATAAAATATATTATTTTTTCCTCTTATATTATTATTATTGTTATTATAGAAAAGGGATAGTACAATGCAACCTAAAAGATCTATTGTACCCCTTACCCGTACCCGTACAAGTTTCTCCAAGTCCGATTTCTTTAAAAGACAGTATAGGACCTAGCTTTCCCCGCTTGTGCATCAGTGCGGGAGTCTTCCCTAACACATGGTATGCGGTTTCTCTCTCTTCTCTCAGTATCTGCAATCTGAGTTCAACTGAATTCTTAACTTCAATATGTGATTATTTAATTTACATTGATCGGTTAGTAATCCCGTAATAATTCTTAGATTATTCTTTGTTTGTTCTATGCAATACTTATGTATGTTGTAAGTCACTCAAATCATTTTAGATTGTGATAGTCTTGTTAGCTTTTCCCAATATTGCTCTCTGTCTTCTGCACCGTTCAAAAAAATGTATAAAATGCTTTTACGTAGACTGCAGAAAGGTGCTGGGCTTATCATTATTGTTAGGCCTCGTGCCTCTTCTTACGAGTTTGTCTACCATTTCATTGTCTTGGATACCAGTAAGTCCCGAAATTCATATTAATTGCAACTGATTGTTGCAGTTCTCTTACATAAATCGTTAGGATTTCAAATTATTTGAAGTAGTTTCATTTGAATTGTTTACAGGGTATAAAATATCATTACTGAAATCTTCATAACAGTTCTTCTTTATTAATCTATAACAGATATTAATTGAATGAAGTTTAAATAAGATTCTTTTCTTCTCTTTGGAATTTTATTAAAATTCAACATTTCTGTTTACTTATGTAGAATAGTCGTATAGCACATGATTGGCTTTGAATAGAGAAGATTAAAAGGTTCCCAAACGTGCTCATCTAAAACTATTTGCAATCATTTATAGATTTTTATTGAAAATGAAGAAAGCAAATTAAAATAAATTTAACGAACTGTGTAATTGAAGGTTTCCAGATCCAGATTTTATCATACATTGCTCGGAATATACACAATTGTGTTCATATTTCTTGAATTATTTTGTATTATAATTTACACTTAAATGTTTTGATATTTCATTAGCAAATCGATTGTGTTATAAGTGTAGCAATAAATATTTTTAACACAGACTATACAAAAATAATATGGATAATACAATGTTAGCTAAACTTTTGACAGAGGTTTTTAGAATTTAAAAATATACGGTCAACGTTAGTAAGGCCAAGTCGGACGTAACGATCGGACTATTTTCGAACTCCAGCAAGGCAACGATCCTTCAAAATCGCGACGCGTTTTTGAGTTGGTTGGCAATGGCTGAAATCGTGTGAAAGAAGTTTAACTTAAGAAAAATATTCAAATTAAATTAATTAACTGAAAAATAAAATTAATCAAATATCAATATTGCTTAATCGTGCTTAATTTAATATTTTTTGAAACATAATTGGCTGAACAGTTTGAGGATATCAAATTAAAAACTATCATCGCATAATGCCTGTGAAATGCCACGAAACTGATGCGGCATCTTCTAAACACTCGGAACAATCTTATTATCGTTTTAATCGAGTTGCTAAAATGTAAGAAGCCTTTTCCGTCAATTCAAATGTTATTCAAATATTAAATAATACACGTAATTAATAAAACAAAAGTTGTACACGTGATTGTTGTTTATCTTGTGATTATATCCAAACTGATATGATCCGATTTTAACAATTCATAAAAAATATTAGCGATCTTTTAACGATAATTTAAGTGATGTTGACATTTCGGTTTAGCGCTTCTTTAACTGAAAAATATTATAGCAATTTCATTGTGTACATTTCTAATTCATATTAACGAACAAATTACAAGGCTTAGAGAGATTTTTTTTCTCAAAAATAAAAATAAACAATATAAAAATAATATTTTTCAAAAAAAAAAATAAAAAATTATCTCACATTATACAATAACTCCGAATGCTATTTAAAAAAATGTAATTAAATTTCAACACACACTAGCTTAAGTTGTTACAATATACACCCAGTATATAAGATAACTATTTAGAAGACAAATCAATCCTATGGATTAAATGTGCTTCATATATTATTATTGAAAAAGCAGGAATAGTACACTGCAACCTAAAAGATCTATTGTGCCCCTAGTCGTATTAGAGTGTTTCTCCAAATCCCATTTCTATAATAAAAGACAATATAGGGCCTATTTTCTCTACTCTTAAATCCTTATGTTCCATGCAACGCCCTTCAAGGTGTTTCTTCCGCCTATTTAAAAAAATGTAATTAAATTTCAACACACACTAGCTTAAGTTGTTACAATATACACCCAGTATATAAGATAACTATTTAGAAGACAAATCAATCCTATGGATTATATGTGCTTCATATATTATTATTGAAAAAGAAGGAATAGTACACTGCAACCTAAAAGATCTTTGTGCCCTTTAATCGGATTAGAGTGTTTCTCCAAATCCCATTTCTATAATAAAAGACAATATAGGGCCTATTGTCTCTAGTCTTAAATCCTTATGTTCCATGCAACACCCTCCAAGTTGTTTCTTCCGCTTGTGCATCAGTGCCGGGCACGCCCCAAGCACATGGTATGCGGTTTCTCTCTCTTCTCTACAGTATCTGCAGTCTGAGTTGAATTGAATTCCTAACTTCAATTGATAATTATTCAATCTACAGTGACCGGTCAATAGTCCCACAATAATTTTTAGGTTATTTTTTGTTTGTGCTATATTGTGTTTAATATAAGATTCGAATGTTTTTTCTTCTATATCGGTGGAGTTAATTTTATTATTGTGTCTTTCATGGATTAAGAATATATCTTCAAGTCCAATTTCATCAATAAATTATACTATTAAAACCATATCACAGAGTTTTATTACACTTTGATACTTCTTTCGTTAAAGAATAAGTGCAGGGCAAACTTCCAGCACGTGTTTTCAGTTGTGATTCTCTTGGCTACAGAACACACAAGCTTCATTAAAATAAATTCCTAGTATTGTAAGGTGACAGTTTAATTTTCAGTGCCCTGTCGAAATTTCTATAATGATTTTCAAATTATTTTTACTTATTTGCCTACAATTTTTGAATCGTTTTAGATTTAAAGTCACTATAAACAATTTACACCTGCTAGATTATTCCAGTAAAACTTTCTTCTTTCTTTTTCTCTTTCCGAATGCGTAAGAAGACATTATCTTGTCTTAAGCTAGAGTATGATTGTCCCTTCCCTGAACATTTTTAAAACACTCCATCACCTGCATTGATCTCTTCTGGTGAAAATTGGCAGCCTATTGCTGTCTGACTATCAATCAGGATGACTATTCTATGGTTCTGATAGTTTTGTTCAATATTAAAATATATACACCTGCATATTGCATAAATTTCTGTTTGAAAGATTGTGATGTTTATAACTAGAGTTTTCGGTATTTCAACCCCAATCCATAAACACTATATACTATGGTACTATGTTATTACATTATCAGGTGTACACCAAGGTGTAAGTTTATACCAGGGTTATCAACCAGTTTTTTAATTATTGTCATAAGCGCTGTTCGATTACCTGATTATATGTAAATATATAAATATCTAGTTTATTTTTTGAATAGTAAAACTATATTACAGCAATTGGTCAACTTTGACCAGAGATCTCTCTGGTTGAATTCTTTCGTGATGTATAGTATCAAAATTGGCTTGTTGGTTTCACATTAAAATTGTTTTCTTCAATCTGGGAAAACGACTTATTTAGTTTTATAGGTTTTATAACACTCTACTGCTTTCACTATCTATTTTAGAGTTATCAATATACTTAATTCCTGCCTCGTTTATATCTTGTTTATATTTTATTTACATTTCTGGTGTTTGAATATAACATTTGTCAAAGAAATTAAACTTTTACTTCAATAATTCAGTTTATTATTTTTTAAATTTGATATGTAGTAAAAGTATATTGTATAAACAATTAATTTTTATATTTAAGTAACAATTGTATTATTTAAAATATAATATTTAATCAAACGATGTTGTTTTCTAAGAACTGCAATTGTTATTTACTGTTTTATATTTTGCCACCATTTCAATATGTAATAATATGAACCTTTCTATGTTATATTCTACTAGAAGAGGATCAATATATTAACTAGAAATGTAAGCCCAAGTATTATCAACAAAGTCCTCTAATGTCCTCTAATAGTTTCCACTTGCTCGTTTCATATGGGAACTACCCGGACTCATCGGAGTGGAAAAATATGTGGGCAAAAACGTCGTCTAATGTTCATTCTTATCGAATATATATTAAAATAGAATAAAATAATAAATAATATAATAATATAAATAATCATATAAGTTGGCACTTAAACTGTCAATGGTGTCGCCATTATAGAGACCACACTAACATTCTATAATACTTTACCATTGCCCATGGCTTACTATATTCATAACTATTATTACACCAAGCTACAAACATATATGAATCGTATATAATGCAACTTGTATACATACATTATTTATAGGTAACATTGTTATATATACCTAGTACTATTTTAAATAAAAATAATATGTAATTTTATAACTTCTGATTATTTAAATAATTTAAAAACAATCTATAGAAATTGAAATCACTGCAATAAAAATGTAGAGTAGACTTGGGTAAAAAATTTTCTAAAATTATATTAACCAAAAACATTAATATTCTGTCGATGAACTTTCAAATCGGAAAAAACGGAAATACACATTTAAAAAGGCGTAAATGTCATCAAACAAGGAACTTGACATTATTTTACCTTTTACATGGAATACTGACAGCTTTTGGATTTGCTTCGTTGGATTTTTTTTTTTTTTTTTTTTTTTTTTTTGAAAATGAAAAAAAAATTATTTTCAAAATTAATTATTGTATTTACTATTATTCTTTTTTAAGTGTATATATAAATTGTATATTTTAGACCACCTGGCATTGATGATGATGACGATGACAGTTTTATGGATATGTCCGATGAAACTGCTAATCTGAAACCACGACAACAACACTGGGGTAACAAGATGCAATTCGTATTGGCGTGTATTGGGTACTCAGTAGGGCTGGGTAACGTTTGGCGTTTTCCGTATATGTGTTACAAGAGCGGCGGAGGTAAGTAAATACAGATCGTGTTTTCGCTGAAATATGAATACATTAAAATTATTGTGTGGATTCATATATACCGAGCTTATAACGAATATCTTTTTTATTGCAAAAATAATATTTTTCAGTAAAAAAAGGTAATAAACAAAAAATACTAAAATTAAAGTTACATTTTTATATTAAAAATGTACATAATTCAATGAATAATTTTTTTTTCTTGCCAATAAAAAAAAGTACGAGTATCAGAATAAGCTGTTTCTTTATTTTTGTTCTTTTTTTTGTGTAAAATTTCAAATGAAAGTTAACATCTAATACATTACTTTTACTAAAACAGAAATAGCAAACCTTTGGCATTTATGTCACAGGTGCCACATATAAATATCTAGAGTACTCTAGCTATCCTCAAGCTATCCTCATTTAAATAGTATACTGCATAAGGTATTATAGTACGTGTGATTAAAAGTGAAATGTTTTTTTTAGTTTTTAAAACAATTAATTTGATGACGAAATCACAATGATAGCTTATATGGTTATCAAGACTTGGGCGCTCCAAAAGTTCAATGACAGCATAATTATAAAATCTGAACACGTTTATGAAAACATTAGCTTATATGGTTACCAAGACCTGAGCGCACCAAAAGCTCAACCATAGCAAAATTCTAATATCTGACCCGGCTTATAAATAGATTCGCTATCACTGCGCTAAGAAACAAGTCTTGTTCTAAAGGAAATTAAAGCGATAATCACGCAGATAGTACCCATTTCACTCTTAAACGTTCAAATAATATCATGGCAATAAATAGAACAACAAGTTCTACCCTTATAACAAAAATATACAATATTATCTTTAATCCTATATAAAAATATTATGTTTTTTCAAACTATAACGTCTAACAAAGATTAATATATCAAAAAAATTCGTATATTATTTAAAGAACTACGCTATTCTGATACTTCTGAATTTTGATAAGATAAGATTTTTATTATTTATGCGGTTATAGTTTTTAGAAATAGTTTTTTTGTGATATTTAAAAATAATTTAAACGACATGGTTTCGATTTCTCGGGCGTAGTAGAGAATAATTGTAGAGACAGCTATTTTGAAAAACTGGTTCACTTAGCTTTATACCAATGTAACAGTGTTTTTAATATATCGGTCTTTAAAATTATAGTTACTTGATAGTAAAGTATTAATACGAGATCTCATTACAAGTTTAGTAAGTATTATGTAGACAGTTATAAGATTAATGATCAATTTAATATTATTTATTGTGATGACCATAAACGCATGTTATGCAGACAGTGAAATCACAATTGTCAATTTCATACTGTTACGACTATTTTAATACTTTTTGTTCGTGCCTAAATTTGAAAAAAAAATATACAAAAATATTGCTCCAATAAAGTCCAAATTCTGACATTCTGACAAGTACAAAAAGCTTTGTCATCGTCACTAAATTTTTTTCGAATTTTCTTTTTGACTTCAAATATCACATTCTTAATCTTCATATATGAAACAGGGATTTCGCCGTGACCTTAATTGTCTGCTCACCATAAATCTAGCTCCACAAAAAATTTTACAGTTTGAATGTGATATATGTATTAATATATCCCCCTTATTCTACAGCTTTAGTACGTATGGACTATAACTTTTATCGATCTTCACAAAATTTTTTAAAGATCAAAAAGCTTTACTTCTAACGCCAATAAAGACTTAAATCAATTTTTTGTCAGCAAAAGCCATTAATTTTAATCGAATTATAAGACAAATACAGTATATAGATTAAAAATAGTCACTATAAAACATTTTCATATCACAGCCCAAGCCATAGGCAATCGTTCCAGAGATAAGAACCTGTTTTTTAAAACACAAATTAGTATTATTGGTTAAAAATTTATTTTAAACTATTTTATTTTAATTTTTATTTAGATCTAGATCTATTTATATTTATCTTTTTCAAGTTATTTTATTTTTTCTCGTTTAAAGTTTTCTACATCTATTATTTATTAAAACAATCCAACTTATTAGAAATATATATATATGAAAAAATCATTATAGAACTTCTTTTAATAGAAGTTTTACCAAACAAAAAATTTTTTTTAGAATTATTTTTTAAAAATTATTTTTTAAAAAATATTTATTTTTCAGGTGTATTTCTAGTTCCGTATTGCATTATATTGTTCATATGCAGCATACCACTTCTATTTATGGAATTATCCGTTGGTCAGTACACTGGCAGAGGACCAATAGGTGCTCTAGGACAATTATGTCCATTATTCAAAGGTAATTCATCAAGTTTTAGTATTTAAATTTAAGTTTATGTTTTTATAAATATATATATTTATATTTTTTTATATTGTAATGTGTATAAAAATAACTCTATTGAAAAGATAATTATTAAATATGATTTTGGGTATAGACGCGCTGCGGCTTCTTTGACTGAAACGCACTTAGAAAGCACGTTTTTCGAACAGCTGATATGGCATATCGGCAATAACTAACTACATGTTAGCTTTCAAGTAGTTCAAAATCTCTAACTTGCCTGATTACAACAAGCAATAGTACATCTAATCATAGAAATTTGTTGGGAGATATGATCGTGAAGGCCAATTTCCAGGATAATAAAAAATAATTTGGTGTTCATCGCAGGTTTTCTGGGAAAATCTTACTGTGTCTTGCGCTCTATGGCATATTGTGCCATTTTGTTAAAATCATCTTGTTGTTTACCATTAACTTACCATTACTTAAATTGGGAAAAAAGCAGTCATTAATCATGTACATATAATGCTCTTCATTGACCAATAATTCCAATCGGCATCTCTAAAAAAATACGAGACATTGATACCATCAGTACATAAAACACATCAAATTCTATCCATGTTAAAGTGATCAGATATATAAAGCACAAATCGGCTGTTAATTGTCAAAATGTTTTCCACTAGAAAAGGTGCAACTAACTTAAGAATCGAACTTCTTAAAACGAATACCCTCATGTCTGGTGCACATTTAGATTAAGGTATGTTTGAGCGCAAATAATGGCCCGTTGTAATAATACGGATTAGTGTTCTTCATACGCAGACTACAGTTCAACGTAGAAACCACGCCAAATGAAGTACTCCCCCATTTAAGTAAAAGCAAACCAACCTGACAAATCTATAAACTTAACCAATTCCCTAATTTTGTAGGATGACAGCTCTGTCAAGTCGGAAGGTAAAAGAACCTTAAAGATTTTGAAACTTCTCCTGATAAATGCCAAGATATAACGTGTAGTACAGTTTTCTCCTCATGTTCAAAGCTACAACCCTGCTAAAGTTATTATAGAGGAGACCTAATTTCATGTCTTTCTAGTATACAGTGAGTCGGCAGCACGAATTAGCCAATAATACACACTGACAAGTTAGTTGGAGTACAGTTTGCGCATCATTAGCAAAACCGGGGTTATGACTTAAATGAAATAGTAATTTAGATACCTAAAATATTTTTTGTTTTATAAATTAGAAGTTAATTAAGATCAAATTAAGATTTTCAACCTAACAATAAAACTATTATTGTATATGGTCCATAGTATACCCTATATAGTACGAAATATATGGGATTACTTGAGAGATTGCCAATTATAAAACTTGTGCAAACTGTTTGTTAACTGTATGGGAGCTATAATTATACGGAGAATTTCGAATATATTTATAAAAAGTTAGTGATATAAAAAAGTGTTATACACATCATATACAAATGTACGGGTATGACAGTTCCGCCTATACAAATTTGTTTGTCAACTTTAAGATGTGATTTTTTTTTTAAACAAATATATTTACTTTTACTTTGTAGCATTCGAAGACAAAAAATAATTAAAATTCAATAATCGAAATTAGAAATGCAAATGTGAGCTCGCAATCGTATTTTTTTCCGCCATAAATTCTAAGCAGTTTCAATTGCTAGACATCAATTTGCAACAGCAATGAAATGTTCTAATGCACTAATTATCATAAAATGAAATAACTTTTTAAATAGTGCAAGGTTACCCAATAAGCATCATAGGTGCAATAATATTTCTTACAGGAAATTAAATTTTTTACTAGAAAAGTCCCCCACACAGTACAGTTCGCAATATATCTCTAATGTAGCAGTCAAAATCTATTCCGTGAAATCGACGAACGTATTCGCTATGTATTGAAAGCAATTTCATTCTAATACCTATTGTTATTATTATTATTATTATTATTATTATTATTATTATTACTATTATTATTATTATTATTATTATTATTATTATTATTATTATTATTATTATTATTATTATTATTATTGCAATCTATAAAAATTTATTAGAACTTCATTTAAAATTATAGAACTAAAACAGTTGTCAATGTCATTGACTTATTCTCACCTACCATAATTAGAACTTATACTTTCTACTAAAAAGTTCTGGTGAAGCCTGCTTAATTTAATCGTGTAACAAATTTATTTCTCAACATTTACCTATATTTCTATATTTCTATTTTTTACCTTTAAGCCTAGTATTAACGTCTATTTCGCACTAAAAATTGACATAATTGTCTCCCTATAAAAAAAATATTCGACATAATTTCGACATTGTAGAAATTTTTTTTAATAATTTTCGTGCGAAATTGATGTGAGTACTAGGTTTTTGGATGTAAAGTTATAAGAAAATAAGCATTTAGGATATTTAGTTCGCATATGAACAAATCAAAACTTTGAATAATTGTATAGAGTGGTACAGAATCTTCATATTACTTGTCAAACTTTTTATAAGTCTCAGAGGTGGTGTTTTCTAGAAAAGTAGCACTTAATCAACATTCAAAATTCTTTATAATTCAATTTTGCAGACCGTAAATGGTTTATATATAAATTCCTTGAACTTCTAATAGAAACATAAGACCATAAATCGTTCATATATAAATTTCTTATATTTCTTGATGGTTTATATATAAAAGTCGTAGGATAGGGTTTTGATTAAAATTGTAAATTATACTATGCTTGACTTCTCTTTCAAAACCATTCACTTGATTAGATAGATAGACATACATCTTCTTTATTTCAAAATATTTGAATATAAGTAAGTATTATGCCTTAGATCTAAAAAAATCGATTGGAGTTACTTAAAAATATATTGGAAAATAAAGAATGCGACAATAACTTGATAGTCGTCTGTTGAAGGTATTGGATTTATATAAATTTACCTTCTAGCTTAAAACTATTCACAATTCAAAAATGAAAATATAACAAATACAAATTAATCGCTCATGTTTTAAATTTAAATTAAAAAGTATCAAATTCGTTTATAATTAGTTTTCTGTATTTCAAAGCACTAGTAAGTTAATCAATCTTTTCCTATCAGGATCATTTTTCCAATTAAGCACACTTATTACTTCCTCTTTCAAAACAAACTCGTCTAAAAGGCTCTAATATAGAACAACGGTCTAGGATGTGCTGTATGCTTTCCGTTTTATTGAGGTTGCACAGTGTACAGTTTCTATTGAACTTAATAAATTCAGTTGATTGCCTTTAATCTGTTTTATCAGACCACAAGACTGACTACTACGGCATCAGTGCTGATACATTATTGTGTATTAAAAATGCATGCAATTAGATTTGGTCTGCTCTCTAGCAAATTTTATCGGAATTGTGACTCTGCGGATAAAAAGAAACCTGCATGTCAGTACCTATCACTGGCTAACAGAAGATTAAAAATCTTTGTTGTCCCTTTACTAACTGATAGAGCTGTCATCCTTTGAAATAATGGACATATCCAACTTTATCAACTTATCAGGTAAGTTCTCTTTAATTTGAATAAGGGGAGTAACGCTTATCAGGTTAGTTCTCTTTAATTTGAATAAGGGGAGTAACGCGTTCTGGAAGGGGCGCCATTCGTGCGTTGAATGCTTTGAACTTCTACTTCTAAACTGATCGTTCAGTCGCTCATCAGTGATATGGAAACAGGCTATTATTTGTGTGTAAGTGAAGGTAACCTAACCAAAACTACCTTTAACCCTTCTCCCTCAAAAATTGACATTTCTTAAAACTCAAACATAAGAATTGAAATAAAAATTATTATATAAAATAATATTACCATTTATTAATCAACACTCTTATAAAAGCCTTCAGCATATTTAATTTGAAAGGTTTAGTAGACTGAATATAAGTAAATCTATAAATGACAACTGTAACCGATGAAACAAAAATTAAAACATTTGCATTGTTAATTACTGAAAGACATATACGTAATTTATATAAAAATACTATTTACATATTCCCAACACTTTAACATTTCCTATATTTGCAATGCCGCCCTCAACTGAACTACGTTTTTTGCAAAAATTATTCCAAACTAATTGTTTTCTATAAATTAATTCTATAAATTCAAATAGTAAATGTATATTAATATAATTATGTTAATACCTAAGATTAAACGAGATAATTAATTTAGAATCACGTGAAATTGCTAGATAAGTGATTAGAAAGTGATTATATGATTATACTAGTGATTATAAATAAATTAAATTAAAAATAATTAAATTCAATAAAATCAATTCATATATTATTATTATTCATATTTCGAGTACCTTTATTTAGAGTACCATCATGATTGATATATGTTATATATATTCACTTTGAAGTATAACGCAAACAATTTGGTCGTAGGTTAGGTTATACTGGCGATCCCAAGGGATCCAGGGAGCTCATTGTGCTACCATATGATTAAAAAACCCAAGAGTTAAAACCATTTATAACCTTTGGCAATACTATTTAGAGGGAGATTCTGAAATTCGCCAAGATTCTCAAAAGAGAAAGTCCCTAAAGTGTTAAGACGGCGTCACACATTTTTAAATACTCTTTCACTATTTATTTTGAGCTCTAAAAAAATACAATTAATCTAATATTAAGTCTAAATTATAAGTACTGTACACTATATAGTATTCATCCAAAAAGTTATCAAAAACGGCAATTTTTGATTAATAAAGAATTAAAAATATTTCTGTGCCAGACATACAGATTTCTAAAAAAGTCTATATAATTTTAAATAATATTTACAAATATTGTCCCAAATATTAATTTATATTTACATTTTTAAGATACTTTAACAAATCGCCCAACGCCTATTGCCCGTCACATTTTTTTTAAGCCCGTCTGATGTCACATTGGCCATAGCCATAATTGGTGATGTACTTATTGGAAGAACATGTCAGTTTCCACTGATGTAAATATTTTTTTATGAAATTTGATTATGTGTAACTTTTTAATTTGCATTTTTAACGCAAACCAATCGATGCTCATTAGGCGTGCATTAAATAAAAAGTTTGTCTATATTTTTAATAACACTATCCGACAAAGCTTTTTCACAAGGCCCAACTAAGTCTTTTCTAAATTATTTTAGCCTACAAAATGACAACAAGAAACAAAAATAATTTTACAAAAATCCTGACCTAATAGTCATACCTACAATAAAAATATCGTCCCAAGACAGTCATCCTCCTGCTTGCCAGTGCTGGACATTGGCACAATATATACACCGCTATCTCGTTTTCTTCTAGACATAGTCTGCAAGTGTCTTCCTCAACAAGAGTTATCTTTTTGAAGTGATACTTGAAGGTCCATGTCCAGTAATCAATGAGGTCAGTCAGATTAGGGTGCTCCACAGATAGCTAAGCACTTTTACAGCTTTCCTGGCCAACGGTTTCAATATCATGAGTTTAGTCTGTCTACAAGCGCTTATCTCTCTCCATCTATTACGATAAAGTGAAGTTATCCACTTATCGAAATAGGCTACAGTCATATTGTAGCCCAATGATATTCTGGGCTCTGGGCCACAGAAGTTATGGCTTGATCCTTGCTTTGCAAGTTCATCTGCGTTTTCGTTTTGCTCAATACCGATATGCCCTTTAACCCAAATGACTGTTACCTCACTTCCATGAACACATTCCATGAGCTTCGTGACACATTCTTGTAATAAGCCGTTGAGTATGGAAGCAACTAACTATTCCAATTAAGTAAGCATTATAGAAACTTTTCTATTGTTTTGGTAGCTTCTGTTTCAGTTGTGGAGCACTTGTAGTGGAATATTTTCTGATTTCTTATATCAGAATTTCTTTCTCAAGCGTTCTCAATGGCATTCAAAATTCAGAGACTAGTTCACATATTAAAAAGCAGTCGAACAATAGATGTACCATATTCAGATTGGATTCTATAATTCTCTAAATGATAATTTGGTTTTGTGCTGTAATTTATTTAAAACAAAACTTAATGTATGTAAATCTACCAAATACGAAGCTTCCATACAAAAACAAATTTGAAGAGCTACCGAAGTCCATCTGAATAAACCCTTTCATAAAGCTAATCATTTTTTTATATAGTTTTCTACACCTCTTCCACCACATTACAGATTTGTACCTCTTTTCGTATTATTTATATAAAATATATAATTATGAAGAATGTTTTGAGAAGACACATACTTTGCATTAGAAGAGCAACTTCACACTTATTTTAAAACATGGTTTTTATTACAGGTGCAGGTTTGGCTAGTGTTGTTGTGTCCTTTTTAATGTCCACGTATTTTAGCGTTATTATTGCCTATGCAATTTATTATTTTTTCACCGCGTTTAAGCCATACATGCCATGGGTCGATTGCAAGAACCGTTGGAACACACCATACTGTTGGGTGCCACAACGTTTAGAAGTGAACATGACGGCACCAAATTCGTCGCGTACGCCATCAGAAGAGTTTTTTGAGTACATTTTTGAAATACACACAATTTTAAAATTAATTAAAATATTTTAATAAATTTAGAAACAAAGTCCTACAAATTAGTCCAGGAATTGAATATCCGGGCTTAATGCGATGGGAGCTGTTTGCATGTCTAATTTGTGCCTGGCTAATGGTCTACTTTGCTACATGGAAATCGATTAAATCTTCTGCAAAGGTAAGCGAATTTCATACAGATACCTCTGCAGCTAACGTTTATGTTTTCTATATGTGATTAGAACTTACTAGATGCTCTTTATGAAAACCCAACCTTTTAAGACAGGATAACACATATATTCAATATGATTTTAAGTAACATAAAAAACATGAAATCACTATTCCACTTACTACTATAATTTGGAAAGACAATAAGAAATTCACAGAAAACTCTATTATATACGTTTAGAATAAGATTTATGTGCTTCATGAAATAGTATAGTGTAAGAGCATAGAGTATAGAGTAAATATTTCATTTAAATAGAGTAAGCTTAACAATTTTTTATGTTTGCACTACAAACAAAACATTTCATTTTCTAATTTCTCTTTCTAAACATTTCTCTTTTCTGGGTTCTAATGCACCCAGAATATCGTTCATTGAGAAACTACTGAATACTGATGGGGTATGAATTTTGGTTTCAAACAAGCGAAGCAATTCTTCCATACTATGAGATCGAGGAAAAAGACTTTGAAATACCAAAGTAATATCCGAATATCATATCATCTGTCATTTCGCAAATCCCTATGTCAAACATAAATACAAATAGAGTTGTGACTAACAATTTTTTCACTTATTTCATCCTACATATCTTTTTCCTTTTTATTTTATTAGACAGCCTTTTATTTTTTTTTTTTTGGATTCGATTTCTTTTGCATTTTTGTGATATTGCGGTACCCTTCGTATCCTTTGTATCCTTCGTTTACGTTTCTTAGGACCTTTCTTAATTTATTTTCATTAATTATACAGTAGTATTTTTTTTACTATTTATTTAAGGTTAGCTGTGGTAAACCATCTAATAACTGCTTCACATTTTCTTACTTGTTAATTATTTATTAATGATTTCAAAATTTCATTTTCATTGCAAACTCTCCTGTCCTGATAGTACTAGTACAACATATTGATTGTTCTATATTCTAATAGTGCAATATATGTTATGTATTCATATACCTCTGTTATAACACCTATTACTTTTTTTACTTAGGTTCGCTATTTTACGGCAACGTTCCCATTTGTGTTGATAATCATACTAATGGGACGCGCTGTAACACTTGAAGGAGCGGATGAAGGTCTGCGTTACTTTTTCAGACCCAATTGGTCTGAATTAAAAAAAGCTAATGTCTGGATAAATGCTGCCTCACAGAACTTTAATTCGCTTGGAATCACATTTGGATCGATGATATCATTCGCCAGCTACAACAAATACAACAACAATATATTACGCGACACAATTGCTGTTAGTGTGGTGAATATTCTAACGAGTCTACTAGTTGGTGTATTCGCATTTGCCACTCTAGGAAACCTGGCACTGGAACAAAACACAAACGTGAAAGATGTTATAGGGGATGGACCTGGCCTAATTTTTGTTGTATATCCCCAAGCAATGGCAAAAATGCCGTACGCACAGTTATGGGCCGTCATGTTTTTCTTTATGTTATTATGTTTAGGTTTGAATTCACAAGTAAGTATATCTTTATGCGATTTAACTAAGACAAGTGAAAATTATTTAATTTAAATTTTTAATTCATTTTTAGTTTGCTATTGTTGAAGTGGTAGTCACTTCAATACAAGATGGATTTCCTAATTGGATAAAGCGGCATTTAGGCTATCATGAAATTGTTGTACTTTTCGTCTGTGTTATATCATTTCTCTTTGGTCTACCCAATTTAATACAGGTATATTTAGTTTTATTCAAACTTATCTAAATTCACTAAGTCTTATAAATTTCTTCTCCTTAGGGTGGTATTTATTTCTTTCAATTAATGGATCATTATGCTGCCTCGGTTTCGATCATGTTTTTGGCTTTCTGCCAAATGATTGCTATAGCTTGGTTTTATGGTACAGGCAGATTGTCAAAAAATGTGAAACAAATGACTGGCAAAGCGCCATCGATTTACTTGAAGTCATGTTGGATACTTTTAGGACCTTGCCTACTATTTGTCAGTTTCTATAGTGATAACGAAAGATTATGTTATATTATTTATTGTTTTGTAATTATGTTTACAGGCCATTTGGGTATTAAGCTTAATAAATTATCAAGAACCAAGTTATCACAATGGACGTTATAAATATCCTGAATGGGCTTATGGCATTGGTTGGATGTTTGCCTCACTTTCCCTAGTTTGCATACCTAGCTATGCCTTCATAAATGTATTCCGTTCGAAGGGTCGTACTTTTGCTGAGGTAACTACATTTATTGCTTTCTTTAAATTTATAATAGTTATTGATTAATTACCATCTACAGCGTATTCAAAACACACTACGTCCCAATATATACGAATGTCGTATATGTGGTGAGCATCACTGCGAACATGATTATAGTGAGCAGGAACAGTATATGTTATCTCAGGAACTGTCTGGCATATATAAACCAACTGTGCAGTTAAAGTCCGTAGCTCCACTGCAATTTAATATGGCGCAGAACACAGCAGGGGGCTATAACCCCATGCAACTTCAACAACCGCAAGCACAAGTCGAGTACACATATGAAAAGGGTTATGAGTCTACTCAAAATGAAGAGCAGCAGGAGACAGCGCCAAAGTCATCGGCAAGATGAATCTTTAATAGATTTTAGATGTATTGAAATATAGTTTTAAGGCTGTTGATTTAATACTAATTAAGGGAGCATTTTTGTGACTTTGTCGGCTGTGTTAGCCTTGTGTTCCACACAAAAATTGCTACATTTGCTAATAATTGTCGTTTCTACAAAATGTTAGTATTGTTAAATTCATGAGCATTTATTAACTTCTTTCTTCCTTCTTTGTATTGTAGAAAAAATATTTATAATTTTACGTTGATTTAAATATTTCTGCTAAGGTCTTGTTACCAAGATTGTAGTTATAGTAGTTAATTATGTAAAAACTTATTGTTGTGAACTTCAAGAACAAATAACCAATAAGTACAATTGTTTCAATTTTCCGAATAATAAAAGAGTTTCATTAATGATTTCGCATATTGGAAGATTGGATTATTTCAACAATAACAAATTTAAATAATTTCTATTTATTTTTAATGAAAATCAAAATATATGTAAAATATTTTTGCGCCTCAGATCAAATCAAGTTAACACATTATCTCATGACATGTGGGGAACGTAGAAGAGCACTCTTGTATTCCATCTATAATACCCGTACCATCGAGAATTGTCATCTAATTTAGTGATTGGAAATGTATATTTTCCTATGTATATTTTATTAAAAATTAATTAATTATATCAAAACGATTTTACCACGACTCCAAATTAGCTTTGCAAAAACAATTTTTTGACATTGAAGATGACTCATTTCATTTGTCATTTAATTTGACGGTGTGATTTATTCAATCACCAGCAAAAGCAAAAATTAAATAAAAACAAACTAAAAGAATATTTAGAACTATCTTTAAAAAAAAAAATAATGAGTAGTTATTATTATTATTGACAAAAAAATGTAAAAACTATTATAGGTGATGATGTGCTGCAGAGTTATTGCCCTTAAATTCATCGTTTTAAAGTTGTTTGCAACCTAATTATAATCACCATTATCAATGCTAGCCCATCAATTCTAGCTACCCATTGACTACCCGTAACATTTGGTATCAGATATCTAAGGATCACCACTTTCTCATACTCAAAGCTTTGGCATGTTCGTCAACGGTGCAAATTGACTTTTTGTAAGTGTTCTTAATTCCTGGTCCTTATAATATGAGCAATTTTTTTTACTTATTCCATATTATTCATTTGAAAAAGGCAGACAGACTTATATTGCTTCATACCATCATTATAACTTCATCATTATAACTTGTTTCTTGTTTTGGTTATACACAGCCATACCGCGTAATTTGATGGTCAGATCTAAAGGGCCCTTTAGACATCAACGCTCGTTGTCAACGCGCGCTTGCCATTACACAAACAATTTTTTAAAAATTTTTTAAACACGCCCCAGATAAAACAACAAATATACTAAAAAATCGCTCTCACATTAGAATTTTTTCTCCTACTTTGTGAAATGCGAAATTTGTTTGTGTAATAGTAACATTTGAAATTTTAAGAAATGTGTTGACGAAAATCAAAAAATTTTGATATTTCTTCAAACACGCTCGTGTTTTTGCATATACAGTCGGATTTGGTCGGCATGCAAAATTTTATTTATTTTGAGAAATGGAAGCGTAAACATCGTTTAAATGCACGCATGATTTGTCGCTAGCATGCGATGCTTTGCAAATATGAATGAATTTTATTTTAAATATTTGTATTTTCTACCTAGGTAAAATTGTTTAATTTCCAAAACATTTTATTAAGAAGAATTAAAATATTAATAACCTTGGGTTACTAAAAATATATAAATAACCAAACATTAAATTACAAAGAATATTATATTTTAAATGTTATTTGAATTGTTTACCTGCGAAAAATTTATTATTTATAAAATTTTACAGGTAGAAATATTGACTAAAATCTCAAATGACTGGTTTATATTTTTTACTATTTAACCAAAGAAATATGAATTTTTGATTTAGTATTTAAATTTAAAGGTAAACTTCAATTTTATTTTGAACTTCAAATAAAAAAAAATTATTTTTCTTAAAAAATACGCATAGGTACTTACTGTTTACACTTCAGCGATTGCTTTCATACTAATGAGTGAAAAATGTTTGTATTATTTTTTGGAGGTGTGTTTTAAAAATTGTTGGTAAATTTAATGTGTAATGGAGAGAGAAGACTTCGTGTGTTTGTCAACGCGCGTTGATGTCTAAAGGCCACTTAAGCAAGAGTTAAAACATTACAGAATTTAATAGAATTGCGACGGCAACTACCGTTAACATCACATAACCCTTAGAACGTACCCCTTGAACACGCTTAATGTGATTCTATTTTTTTCGAAATTTGACGTTTTTTCTTTTTTGAAATTTCCAGCGCAAGCGCGAAAATTCCGGAAAATTCGTTTTGAAAGGAATTTCGTAGAAAACACATCACGAAAAAAGTTAGTAGATGATTTTAAAAACGTATTTATTACAATATATATTAAGTATTATTAACACATTACTTGTATTATAATATGAATTATAACAAAATTATAAAAAAAATAAAAATTATAAAAACAAAAACGATCAAAAAGAAACCGTGAATAAAATAATACATTGAATAAAAACATAAAGAAATGCAAAGCAAAGAACTTCAAAATTTAAAAATAAAATATATTTGGCGCTTATAATCAAAGCTTGTTGAAGAAATTGTCAGTATAAATGCTATGCAAAAAATTACAATTAAAATCACTTTTGGAAGAAAATAGCTTTATTTTAACATAACTGGTAGAAGTACATAAAAAAATAAAAATTAGTAAAAAATTAATTTTATAGTTTAAACACACGTTTTAAACATTTGGTAAAGACGTCTAAAACAGCACATTTTTTTAAAAGAACTTTTCATTTTAAAAAAGTACTGTGTACATGAGACCTTAATCCACTAAACCCCCCTTTTTGGAATATTTTGTGGAAATAATCATAGCTCACAAATCGTGAAGATGCATTAAATTTACGTAATAGAAATTCAAGCACTCACTCACGCAGTTGTATAAATTTATATAGTTCACGACCCAGCAGGTGAATAGTACTAGTCGCTTGATAATGCACTTTAAATGCGCACAACTGGTAAATTTTACATTCAGTTTTCATTGTTAGTGTCAATTGTCTACATACGATACACATCGGCACTAGTATTTTCTATGGCGAACTGGTACGGAGGTTATCAAGTTTTTGTGAATTCCCTTACAATGTTCACACTTACAATTATCGAAAATTGTTATCACATATTTTTATGATTTTAGGCACGAATAACATTTCTAAAATATTACGATGTTTTTTCTTATAGTATATGCCGATGTAAATTGGTTCCCAAAATATCCTAAATAAATTTTTACATATACCACTCAAACAAATATCGAACTGCAATCAAGAATAAATTATTATATATTATCAATAACAACGATCATTTTCTTATATACATATGTGAACATATACTCTCATGAGCAAAGTTCCTCGGAATATATAATTTAACTAAGATTCTTCGTCAAACTGGAAAGCCCTAAAAGTCAATGATATGTAAAACTTTTAATAAATTTTGTGTGTAAAATTGCGTTCATAACTGCGTATTTACCAGGTTTAATGCAATAATATTAACGTATTATAAGTATGATGTGCAGACAAATAATTTTTAAAAAGAATAGAATGCGTAGTAAATATATCAATTAATAAATTTTTTTAAAAATAATTCTATATGCAAGTCTAGTAAACTTATTTAATAAAAACTTTCAGTCTGGCCACACTGTGTCAAGTACATGACATATATCAAATTGCTTTTGATTAATATTTTGACATTTAATTGAAAATTGTTTAGTGAAGTTTTGTTGTTGTAGACGAAGGTTTGGTTGTACTAAATGTAAAGCTCCGTTGCTTTTTTATTGTTTAAGTATACGTATTATGTGTATTTAAACTTAGAATTTTTGATTTTAGAAAAATAAAATTCACAGTTAATCAAACCGTATATACAAGCTGCTAACGCAATGACGACTTGGAATGGGTACTGCCGTGTTTGCGGTAATCCTGCTGAATATGGAATATTTGGAAAAATTCCGGTATATTTGCATGCATCGTTGAATGAGTATGTTAAATGGCAGAAGCCTATTAATATTATGTTGGAGGACACCACCGGGCTAAAGGTATGTAATCTAATAGGTGCTAATAAATGAAAAAAATCATACCATCCAAAAGTCGCCGGTAATGGTTGTTATTGGTAACATCCACTTCGCACTAAAAATTTATATAAAATTTCATATAAAAAACTTTTCTATATTGTTAAAATTTTGACAAGATTTTTACTTATATGAAATTCTTCTGTTTTTCATGCGATCTATATTTTAGTACTAAGCTTAATACTGATCCAAGTTAGTCGTTAAGTTGACCATGTATAAAGTTTTATTTTATTTTATTTCATTTTTTTTTTTTGTAACTCTAATATTTTCAACATTTAAGATATATAATTTCCTTAATTCGTTTTCATTATATGCTTTTCATTTTTATCAGCGAATTTTTAAATGTATTACTCCCTCAGTTCCAAGCTTTTACTTTCATTATTTCACTATTTACAAGTGCTCTTTAAGTAATTTTTTATTATTTTTTACATACTTTGAAAAGCAGTTGTTGTTGTTGTAACTGCAATGATCTGCTCTTGTAGTCCATTTCGTAGATAACATTTTGTGTGGTGAACGGCACTTGATCGTCAAACTCGGCAAGTGGTTCGATTCTACGTTTAGCATACCCAAAATGGACTACACAAGCATATTATCACGGGCTACAACAAGAAATTGTGGTTCCAAGAACTATCGGGTCTACGTCTTGAAACTACTTGTCAACTACGACGACCAAGGTACCGGTTACCACCTCTTAAAGGGATTTTACAAGCAGATCCCAACGGGTTACAATAACAACGAGAAAGAATGCCATCGAGACGTAGACCCGTCCGTTCTTGGAACCACTACGCTGTATACTTTCACATTGATTTTAAAGCAATGGGGTATAACGTAAGATATTTGGATTGAATACTTAATAAATCAACTGATATAATATCTAACTCTACCGGATAAAAATAGGTACTCGTACATTCTAGTCTGTCACATCCTATCCATCGTTTCAATAAAACACGCAAGTCATATAGAATAAAATCTAAATTTGAGTGAAAGTTCCCTTTGAATATTATGGTCGTAAAAACTACAATTACGTTGAAAAAGTATTAATAATAGTACAATAGAATTCCTTAACTTGAATGTGTATATTTATTAATGTGCACATACGCACGACATAGAACTAAAGTTTCTATAAAGATTAAAACTGAAATATCTAAAACTTTATATTTTCGTTTCTATGAATAGGTATCTGAGAATGATGGCTTACCACAACATATATGTGCGTTGTGCATCTCCTATCTAAAGCACGCTATGATATTTAGAGAGCAAGCTATCAAAAACGCGTTACATTTGAAAGAAATTAACGGAGGCAATCAGCTAAATGCTCAACAAAAAGGAGAGAAAACACAGACTTCAACGGCAAAGCCAGAAACTTTGGTTATACAGGAATCACGTCCAAGCAATTCCAATGTACTTCTCAACAATGCGCAATCCGATTTAAACAAGGTGCGCAAAACATTAATTAATAATGACTTTTATACCAGTTTACCTATTCAGCAGAACACAGATCAAGAAATGCGTTACCCGAATGTACTCTTTTACAAAGATACAAATGCCAAACAAAGTAATACTACTAACTCCAAAACGTTTGATGCTCCTATTATTCCGTCATTAAGTAATAATTATTTTGATGATTATCAAACACCTACATCCAGTGAAGATAATGAGCAAGGGATGCTGCTACAACCTAATATATTTTCATATAGAGAAAAAAACTTTGAAGAGGATGATATATTCGATCAATTGCGTGATTCCATAATCATTAATATACCAGAAAGCTGCAAGGAACGCAAGTGTCGTGCATGTTTCCGGCGCTTTATGTTTGAAGAATCATATAAGGAGCACGTACGTACTTGCATTGAGATGCAGTTTTTAGAATACATTGAAACTTTAAATCGTCTTCTGGAAATAAGAAAGACCAAAACCATCTCACCACATGAATTTATACGTCGTGTTATATTTTATATGCGCAGGACATGTAATTGGGTGAAAGCAAACTACAATGAGGGATCAATACCAAACGTATCAGAATTAAATAATTTCGTAGATCTTATCGGTGCAGAAAGTGATGGCAAAAGCTCAGCATACACATCATCTGGCGAGCAAAAAGTGCAGCATAGCTTAATTGAATTAAATGATGAACCTAACTATTCGGAGGACGCAAATGCAGTAAATACGCTTTTAAGCACAAACAATGAAGATAATTTACTATTTCAAACGGTAAAGCAAGCAGTTATACAAAAGTCACCAATCAATATAAACAACAATATACTTTACAAAATTGAACGTGCAATTAGTCCTGGATTAGTTAAACCAGTTGAGGTGGTAGCGAACAGTTCAAATTATTTAAAAAAGCCAATACCTGTACTAGGTACAAATGTTACGGCAAATGGTGCTACTGTCTTGAGTTCGCAAAAGCATACTGTTTATAAATGTAAAACAGAAAATACATTGCCGGATAATGGGCCATCGACTTCGTCAAACATTTTTGGAACAGCTCAAACAATGCAAACTATCAATCGCTCTAACATACCAGTCGTTAATGATGACTCTACATTCCTGCAGAACTTTCCAAATTTTTACTCTAATCAGTCACCAACAGTTGCAATGATTCTAAAAAATGAACCAAACGGAGAAATTGACAATGATGACAATAAACCCAATATAGCACTCACAATTCAAACTTCAAGTCCTGCTGCAGCTAATTTTCCATTTAGCGCACGTTGTAATCCATGTGATCTGACTTTCCTAAGCGTCGCTTCACTTGAATTGCACAATGCTTCATGTCATAACCACAATCATAATTACAAGGATCCAGAAACACCTGCTAAATCTTCTAGAAAAGACCGCAAACAAATAATTGCAATGTTCGAAGATGTGAGTGATGATGAAGAAGAGGAAGAAGAAGAAGAAGAAGATTAGATACAACCTACAACCAAAGATTCAGCAACTCAAAATTATTTGTATGAGATTATTTATTAACCATCTTCCTTTACCAATTTATTTTATGATGACCACTTTAATCTCCACAACTTATTTGTATTAAATACTAAACTTTTAAAATATTTGGTGTTTAAATTTAATTAATTAATTTTTACGTGTAAACTAACTATCCTTATTCTATACATATTTTCATAAACTTAAAGGCAATTGTGCATTAATTTGCTTCTTATTTAAATAAGTTTGAGTAACAGGTCAGGTCAGTTTCAAAATACTGAAATACTGAGACCTCAAGTATAAATTTTTCTAAGATTGTGTATATAAATTCTTCAAATAATTAAGTTTTTTTTAATTTAAATTTATTTTTGCTAATTTAAAATGACGAAATTAAATGTGATTTAATTATAAATGTATGTACACGAATGTTTGCATGTATTATATTAGCAATGTATGTATAATTTTATGTGCACTGGTATTGATAAATTAATTTAATTTTTTTATTAATTAACTTATTTTGAAGCTTGCTAAAGTGAATGAATTATTTATTTAAATTTCAATTATGAGTGAATTATAACGATTATATTTTATAAATATAATATTATTAATGTCTAACAATCTCGAAACTATTTGTATATTTTTGTAGTGATAAGTTGGAACTTCTCGTTCGATATTTGTGAAAGCATGTTATCATAGATGAAGTTCCCAGATTGATTCCAGATTAATGTTTGAAAGACTAATTTTATATTCATATTAATAAAACTATATATAGCTATAAAATCTGAAATAATGTTTATTTAGCAGTTAATGGTTGGAGACAAATCTTTGATTTTTTACAATTTAACGGATTGTGTAAGCAATGACAATATATTATTTATACTCGTTGCAATACATATCTTTTAAGTTCTCTTTTACGTAATTTATAAGTTGTAACAACATAAGATATAACAGATTTAATCTGTTACGGATGGACAGTTAACCTCATCACATCAATTCACCAACTAAAAGTAAATGACTATAATTACAATCGCAGATACTAATAAAAACAATCGCAGCTGGAATACACACATCTTTAAGATTAACACCATAAATTAATTTAAACCAACAAAATATTTAAAATAATGAGAAAATGTTTTCCCGAATACATGCATTCCAAGTAAAACTAATTATATCGATATGCAATGGATGCAATATATTTAATAAAATTGTATTAATTTTGTTTTGCTCAACGTTGTAATATATATATTAATAAATACAATTACTGATTACAACTATACCATTTATCATTTACCTATGATATACAATCAATTCACATTCAACATTTTATTTATCTTTATTTATTTATTTATTTTCATATCCAAATAATAGCCAATGGTCAAAATCCCTTAGTAAGTCTAACTCTGCACATAGCTTTATTACGCAGGCCTCATAATTAAACAGTAAGACCCATCTTTTAATCCATTCTCACTACCAAATAATTCTCTACTCTATCACACAACCAATACCCATCCGTATCTCAACCCATGTATTCCTTTTCTAATTCCTTCAATGTTATCTGCTTTATACATCCTTTTGCGGGCTACAACAGTACAAACTTACGTACCTTTATTGGATTTCAGACTGCGCAGCTGTCCTCTCCAGGTGCGTTTGCTGCGTGTGCCCCTTCTTCAGTCTAATATATCAAGTGTAGCTAGTACACTTTCAGCTTGATCACTCCACCATAGGCACTGTCTACCTTAACGGCTTTTTCCCTCAAATACCGCTTCTATTTTTGCTGGAGCATTATCATCCATTCTCACGAGATGAACAAGCCAATTAAACCGCTGAATTTTAATTCGCTAAATTATATCAATGTCGTGATAAAGCTCATACAGCTCGTGGTTTATTCGAATACTCGTAGAGGAGCAAAGATCTTACGAAGAACTTTTCATTCGAAAAACAACAACTATTGTACTATTGTATTGCCTATTGTATTTTCTTTAAGTTTAGGCAGTAGGATTCACCAATACAACTATCCAAATTGTAATTATGCTTAATAGCAAATTTTTTCGTATATGAGTTTGTTTACATGATCATTATTAAAAACAAACAACAATTATTAAAAAAACTAATATATATAAATTTTATTTATAAATATCAACATGTATCTAATATGTATATATCTTCATTTTCAAACTTAGACCAATTACAATTCATTGTATTTAACATAGCTAAAGTCTTTAAGTTGCATGTTGTGGATCACAATTTGTACTTTTACATAAATAAAAAAAAATATATTCTATTCCATAGCCACAGATTCAGTATCATTTAGGAGTTCTTCGATTTGAGATATTTCTTGATTCTCTTCTGAAAAATTGCTTTTAATAATTTCAATCACCCATTCGATTTCTTTATTTAGGAAACTGTCGTGGAAGTTTATTAGTTTTTGCATAAAATTGTAGAAATCGTTAAGTTGATTGCCGCTAAGTTCCTCTTTTAAAATAGTAAAAGTAACTGGATTCATTTGAATGAGATTACCAAGCGCACGAATAGAGTAGAACACTCTCAAACGATTTGTTTTTTCCAATAAATTATCAGAATCATTTATATTGTTAACTATAAAAATAACTAAATATATTAACTTATGCTCATGTATGACGCAGTCTTTTTCAAAAAAACCAGCGTGTAGCAATATGGCCAAAAGATACTCAGCACCTTCTGTATACGGATTTTTCAAATTAAATGTTTTATAAATAACACATTTGTGTTCAGCGTTTATATATGAAGCACCATTGAGTGCTAAAAGATACAAGCACAAACCGGCATCACTAGATACGTCAGCGAAGCTTGTATATGTGTTCACATATAAATCAAGCAATATAGTAATTAAATTAATATTAATCAAATTCTTTGCGCAACGACCACTTGTTGAAATAATGTTTGCCAATGTCCATAAAGCAATGGACTTCATTTCATACGATCCACCTTCAAGTATAACACTTAGATAACTGCCTGCATAAGCAACTATTTTCTCGCAAATTTTGGCTTTACCCAACGATAAATTACAAATACATTGAAGCGCCAAAAGTTCTCTATCAGCACGACGTCCTAAAAAAAATAATTTTACATATTTAAAAACATTTTAAACTATTTAATAATTTATGATTTATCAGCTGTGTAAAATGTAAAATCTCACCTGTTAGCTCTTTAATGATGACTTGAAATGCGCCAGGTGTCGACATAAATGCGACAATGTGTTGTTCATCTGAAATAAATGCACGGCTAAGACGAAATAGATCTTCACAAGTCGCCGTTCTGCGACTTCTTAACTTTTCTGATAAATCTACAATTTCCTGTGTTGAGATTGCTTCGAAGTCTTCGATCATTTCGCCTAACCCGCAACGCAACATATCATTTACCTCATGTCGTTTATTGTGACGTTGAACTTCAGCCGCATTCCTCATTTTACATCTAATTGCGTCAACTGCAGTGCCACTAACTCCAAACATTGACTCTTGAGTTATTTGTGCAACGGCCATAGTAATAATATTTAATATTAATTAACAAACTAATCCACAAAAATGCCGCAAAACGATCGATTTCAATACCGATCAGTTTTGAATATTTCGCCTGTCATTGTGCTGTCAGAGCTGACAATACAGTATTGTTTGTACAGTACAAACTAAAATTGGGTTGCAATGATCTCTAAAAAAACAGTTAAAGAAAATAATAAATATGTTGTTTTTTAATACTAAGTCTATGTTGCTAACTTTAACCATTATTTACACTGTTTACACTACCGTCTTTAGGTTCTGTATCTAAATTGTTAAATGCAGAACATTAACTGGTTCAGAATATACATTACTTCAATTAATGCAATATAATTGTTTAATCTTTGTAACAGTCAAAAAAAAATTTCTACTTTTTCTTCAAAACAGCTGTTAGTGGACGATTGTTTGCAACATAAATAATTCAGTCTCAATAATATATTCCGCCAGATAACTGAAGAAGAGAATGTAAAAAAAAATATTTGCTAATAAGATTTTTAAAGTGGAGTACATATATTTCAATTATTTATTGTTTTAATGACCAAATATTTTTATTAATAATTTTATTTTTAAACGGGCTAATTAATCAATAGTTATATAAACACTATGCTCAGGTGTGTAAAAACAGCTTCAACAAATCCGGAAGAGGATAAATATATCATTCCCCTATAAATGTATTTTATATGTATTTTTTGTAGCCGTTACATAAAGGTTTCTACTTTTGCTTCGAAATAACTGTTGGTAGACGATTGTTTGCAACATAAGTAATTTAACCTTAATTATATGTTCAACCAGGTAACTGAAGAAAAGAGAAAAATATGTGCGAATAAGACTTTTTAAAATGGAATACAGAATAAATATATCATTCCCCTATATATGTATTTTATATTCATTGCCAAAATATTGTATAATTATTTCCTCTACATTTGTAATTCATGTTTTAATGTTAATGTATTGTATAATTATTTCTTTGTGATTTATACTAAAATATTGCTACATTACATTAACATTAAACTTTGATGACTATAGAATATAGTCAAATAAAGATTTTTGAAAAGTTATTATGTAACTATTGATCAATTAGCCAGTTAAAAAACAAAATTATTATACATATTTTTTTGAAAACAATTTTAATGTAATAAATAATAAAATAAATAAGAATTAGACATTTCTTAAAAAAACATTACTACTATTCAAATATATCACTCAATGTACACTGAGGTAGACGTCTCACCTGACAAATTTAGTCTAATGTTATGGGGATATCACCACTAGCGAAGCTACTTGCACCCACCTTGGTATGTGAAGAATGTAAATGTATTTGTTTTTGCATTGCTTCATTTCTTTAAAGCATTTAACGAATGTTTACTTTTCTTCCTTTCTTGAATTTTTAGAACTAGTGATCTGCTATATAAATAACAATTATTAAATGCAATTTCTGTATTTATGTGCTCTATATATAGCGGAATCTTATAAATTTTAATTAATATCAAACCAAAATAATAATAATAACCAAAAACATAGAAATATATTTCGATATATAACTGTGTTGTTGGTATTAATAAAATCTATTGTCTCAAGGAAGTGTGGATTCTGTGATTTACTAAACCAAATTTTTGTTGCGAACCTATTGATGGTCTTCTTAAAAATAAATATAGAAAATTTTCGTGCGCCTTGCGAGATCTTATATTTATTGCATATCTTTGCTTTGGAATAGTTTATTGTCCTCTTAAGTGTGATTCATATATAAACTAATTATGTTTTTTATATACTTTACATTAACCAGTTACAATATTTATAGCAACTTATAACACAATGTTTCTTTCAATTTTATAGTATACTTTTAGGAAAAAATATAATCACACTTTTTAATAGCAATAAATCTAATATAACAATAAATGTGTGACAGCAATTGCATGCAATTTTTTGCATTCGTGTAGCAATTAATATCATTTATATATTGAAATAAATAACAATAACTGACTGATAATTATATATATTAAAAAGTTAAATACTAATCAATATTTCGTATTCAATAAGAAGTGCTACATCTAACTACCAGCAGATAAATATTTTGACGTTTGTCAAATTTACATAATTTTTTGTGCGAACTGCAGTTTTGACATTTCCAAATACTTAACCTTAAATTGTATAAACAAATAAATACCTCAAATAAAATTCAATTATATTAAATAAAGAACAAAATGTCGTTTGCATTTATGCAAAAGATAACATTGCAGTGCTTAAAAGCAGATCAACCGTTGCTAAGTAAGTCCTTTCTAAAAGTTTAAAAACGTAAATATTTCATACATAATAATGTTATGTGCATGACAGACACTGTTCGCAATGCTAGTAAAAAAACTGGAGGCAGCACACGTAATAAGAAGGGTCACCCAAGACCGAAACATCGTGGTTGGCGTGTTCAAGATGGTCATTATGTTTCACAGGGCACACTTTTGGCAACACAATTGACTACACGTTTTCATCCCGGCCTAAATGTAAGCAAAAGTAAATATTTACATAATTTATGAGTACTATTTTTGGTGTAAATAATATAGGTTGGCTTCGGTGGGAACGGTACTTTATACGCTATGGAACATGGAAAGGTTTATGTAACTTGTGAGACCTTAGATCCAGATTGGGATCATACCTGGATACAGCGACATTACGCAGGGCGCAATGGTCAAGCTATATCAAAAAAATTCTTTAATGTTGTGCCCGAACGACAACATCAACGATTTCGCATAGTTGAAGAAATCTAAAACATGATTTATATAATACAAAATAGTAAAATAAGTAAATATACTACATAAAAATCAACACAAACTTAATTGAAAACGTGAAGTCTTTAATGTAAAGTAAAGAGGAAAAATTGTGCATATTTAAAGCAAATTCATATCATTTTTAATATAAATTTATGCATTTAAGTGCTGCAATATCCTCGCAATAAACGTTAATTAAAATAATTTATTTTATAAATATCTTAGTCGATCTTAATAGTTGAAAAACTTTTAGTGTTACTTGGTTAGTTATATGCATCCTACTCCGAGCATGAAATCTCTAATCGCAATATGCGTTTTTAGATTACATTATATTATAAGGTTTTTTTTTAATTTACATAAAATTTATATGAGTAATTGAACATTATACAGAATATATTCTATTTATTCTATTTATGCGAGCTAAATTGAGTTAAAACTTTATTTTGGTGATGAGTCCTTATTATTTTGTTAAATTAAGAATGATTTCTTCGTAGATAGGAAAAACTATTTTTTTTCCATTGAATCTCTTATTAAGACAATAGGGACAGAATATCTATGTAGTTTGAAAATTTATATAAAACAAATGTTTTTATTTCGCTTGAATGCAACTTTTTAACTGGAATACTTAATTAAGCATCCCAAGTCATATAGTTGTTAACAATAGATGTTAGAAAGACCTCTTAATTGCAATTTAGTAGCTTTCACAATAATTGAATTAAAGTTTAATGAGATTACATTAATAATGAAATTATATTAATTAATATCGAAATTTAATCTTTTAACATAAAATAATTTAGGATAGAATGCAAAGATAGATATACAAACCAATTAAAACAGCAAACGATACTTACTTAAACTTATTAAAAATATTAAATATTTTCGTTGTCCAGTTCTTCCAAGAGGGGAAATAAATTTCTTATAGAAATTCCACTTCGCCGAGTGGGCGGATACAATCAACACTTTCATCCTGCTCTGTTTAATAGTTACATTATATTATATATGTATGTATATAAAACTATATATGGAAACAACGCTGTCAATTTCATAATTATAGTTAATAAGGCTTATATATGACGAGGCTTAGTCGATATGGACTTTTAACAGCAAACTAAAGTTATTTAAAACTAATAACGATTATTGTTCAAAAAAATCACTGCGCTTTGCTGTTTCATATAAGAAGAATTATTTGTTGACCAGCCATTATTACTGACAGATTAATATAATAATTAATATAAAATTATTTGCTTCATTTAGGAGAGACAGACGGCACTGTAAGCACAGACAAATATGTAACATAATATATAAATTTACATAAAAGCTTTTGTGTGTACATTTATAAATACATAATAATAGAAGTATTCAAACTGAACTTGGTATTTAGTAAACTTTGACATATAATTGAGTTTTTTTTAAGTCATCTTACAAAAGCTCATAATATATTAACGTTTACTGAGTTCGGTCTGAACACCCTTACTATTCATATAGAACATAGTAAGTAGTACTCAATTATTTATGTATATATATATATATATATATATATGATGTATGTATGTATAAATAAATGTATATATAAGTGTATTACACCAATATTTCAGATAAATATTTAATATTAATAGAATCATTGCCATGATTAAGATTGACACCAATTAATTAATGTAAAAACTTTAATGTTAGTATAGTGTAAAAATTTGATTAGAAAAATTTAATTAATCAAGTTCCTTTTTTAGTTCTCCTCACTATTAGACTATAATTACAATTTAATAGCATTTTCATTAATATATTATTTATTTTTGAAACAAATTACAACAATTATTATTCGTGAAACAAATAGAATAAAATTGTATATTCCAATATTTTTAATGAATTTTAATGATAACTAAAATTTGGATGGCATATTTATAAATAATAAGTATTTAATTTTATAATAGAATAATAAAAACAATATAATTCTATATATAAATATTTATAATTAATATAATTTTAATGATAACAAAAATTTGGATGATATATGTATAAATAATGAATATTTAATTTTTAAAATTATCTTTATTATTGTTACAAAACGAACTCCGCATTCTCATCGTGTATTGATACTTAACTTTTTAAAATTTAATAATCTATTGTACTATTTTAGGATATTTTGTTTTTTTTTTTGCATTAGGGTACATATAAAGTAATTTTATTTTATCTTTCTAAAATAAAACTAATTTTATATTTTTAAAATAAAATTTTTTTATTTACAAGGTAGATTTTTTTGGTTGAATGTGATGCGTCTTATGATGAAAACAAAACTAGAGGGGTTCAAACAGTAATGAAGCTACAACAACTAGAAAAATTTGATTTATATATTGAGTAGTTGTTTTTGTAGCTGTTACTGTTCGAACACTTCTTATTTTATTCATATTCTAAACTAAAATGCACCATTATAACTGAATATAAAATAAAAATTATTTAACCATCGAAATAAATAGTCAAACATTATTGACAATAATTGTACATATATTTTCTATTTATTAATATAAATGTTCAATTACTCTCTATAATATAATATATATTAATTAATAAATAAAATTAAAATAATATTGTCGATAATATTTTATTAAGTAATGTTAAAAATAAAATGTCGTTTTTTGAACATACCCCACTGATGCTTGAATACACATGAAACACATCCAAAATTCATAATTGACTTGTGCTACTTCGGCATCTAACTTTGCTTATTTCTTTCTTTCACAAAGTTTCGTGATGGTGAGTAGTCGTCGTTTTTGTGGCAAAGGTGCGAATAAGTTTTTACACAGTTTGGATCGTACAAAATCAAAGAAGTGTGGTAAACAAAGTAAAACTAAATAATTAATTAAATTAATAATCACATACAAATGTTGAATGAAGTTATTTGGCGTTGTAAATAGAAATATCTAAAATCGCATTGAAATCTAACCTAAAACCTCTGTGCATTTTGTCACAAAAGTGACTGTAGTAACGCAAACTGTGAAAAACTGTCAAAAGCACGTGCAATGATGAATTATGTCCTCACATTAAATATAATCATTTTTTTTGTTTTGTTTGCAGTCTAACATTAAGAGGAAGAAGACCAGAAAGCTTCGTGGTCATGTAAGTCATGGTCATGGCCGTATTGGTAAACATCGTAAGCATCCCGGTGGTCGCGGTAATGCTGGTGGCATGCACCATCACCGCATCAACTTTGATAAATACCATCCTGGATACTTCGGTAAAGTAGGCATGAGGAACTTCCATTTGCGTCGTCAACATAAATTCTGCCCCACTGTCAACTTGGACAAATTGTGGTCACTTGTTGGACCTGAAAAACTTGCTGAGCTTAAAAATGAGAAAAGCACTAAGGCACCCGTTCTTGATTTAGTACAATTTGTAAGTTATCATTTCAAAATTGTTTTGCATTAAAAAATTGAATTTTTATGTGATGATATAAAGAAGGCGTCGGGCGGACTGAACGCAACCGTACAATTGCACTCTCCATGTAGCGAAAGCCTTTCTGATCTTTCAAAATAAATTCAATTTTCACTTAAAACTGCATATACTCAATATTAATGAATTTTTGCTTTTTTGCTTTTAGGGTTACTACAAATTATTGGGTCGTGGACACTTGCCCAAACAACCAATCATTGTGAAAGCCAAATACTTCTCAAAGAAAGCTGAAGATAAAATTAAGAAGGCTGGCGGCGTCTGCTTGTTGAGAGCTTAAGTTAAGGTGCGTATATAATTGATGGTTAAACAAATCTGGTGTGAACAAAATGTTTTCAGTTCCAGTATTTAAATATTCACTATGACGATTTATCTAGAACGTCAGACTACTGCTGATTGATTTCTAGTTCAACCATAACTGAACTGAGTGTATTTTTGAACACATCTAAAATGAATTACCTTACGAAATGTTCTGATGTTCTTTTTTTTTTGTATTTCAGATTCCGATTAATCTTAGGATTGACGTACATTCAAATATCGAAAATGTATTGGTTTTTTTTAATAAAACAACAAATATTTAAACGTTAAATATGTTTACATATAATATATTTGGAAGATACGCTACTCAGCTCAGGAAGTTGTTGAGAGTTTATATAAAATAAACAATTGAGGCGTAGTGCATAAATGTTTTAGTACTTTTAAGAAAATTGTAATATATAGTGGACTTCCAATTATTATTATTGGTTTTTGTATTATAATGAAAAGGTGAAGTTTTATTCAATATCGTCTAATCTAAGTTTCACAAATATAATAACCAGTATTTGATGTTGTATTGCGTGGGAATTTATATGGTAGAAAACGTGTATGAAATTGCAATACAAATAGATAGATCAGAATGTGAAGGTAGGATAAGAAAAAAAATTGTATAGGATATGGGATAAATGAGTGTGCGTGAATGTTTATTTAAACTAATCTGTGTTGAGTTGAAGGAATTGAGTCTTATAATATTCCGGTAGATAATTCTTACAATATTGAAACTTAAATTTTCTGTAATATTGTGCATGTGCTTTATATATCTCTTAACGTGAGAACGAGAGTAAACTGGGAAGAAAATAATGCATTTTTTCTATTGGAAAATACATATTTGATATAGGAAAAACTTGAATATATTTTTGAGTTCGATGAGAATTCTGTGTATTTTTTTGTAGTTAAATATGGTATATGTATGTATATTGATTATATTGTAAGATAGAAATATAGTTAATAATAAAACAGAGCTAAATTCTAGCTTAAAATGCTTACACGATCTTAAATCACGAATACAAATACATAGGAAGAAGCTAGTAGTTCTCATAGTCTCTTCATAAATTACTAACTTAGATGTAGTTGGAAAGAAAACGGGTTCAAGTGGTAATGTGGGAGAAATCGAATTTAGCTCATATTCAGTCTCAATAAGGAATTATAAATTTATAAGGGTTAAATAGTTTATGCAGACAGACAATGGAACTGACAAATATGCAATTTAATCTTGGAGTTAAATTATATGAATTCGACCTCAATACTACATCCTTACATTTTATATTATCGTAAATGGTCGACTTTTATTCAAAGATATTTTAGCAATGCAATATATAATGCAAATATAAGTCTATAATAAGATCGGAAATGGAACTTACAAGGCTAGCAGTAGATTATTCACGAATCAAAAAGTGAGAAGTACAGAGGCCAGAAGCCATTAAAATAATTGTTTTTACCGTACAAAATGATAATGTTTGCATAACAATATTTTTGCTGTTCCCTCGGGAGACATATAGCATCACATAATATGAAAGGAAGTACAGATAGGAATCCATTGGTTTCGATACTGTTAGGCAAAGAAAATGGTGAACGCTACTTCACCATCTTATAGACGAAGATAATGGTTTCGAAATGTAGATCTGGCTGCTCCTGGAATTTTTAAATAACAATCGGTTTTTTCAAACTCATAGTGCTTGAATTTTGACAAATCCGACAAATTCTATATCAATGATTTTTACTAACTTTAAGGACCCAACGCCAATGTAAATTTAATAGTATAATGACATTAGGGAGTGCTTTTCTTGTCAAATACAATTAAAGGAATATTAGTTAGTGAACTTCTTCCTAACTCGGTGATATATGTATACCGTTCAAAAATTGCATTAAAAAAATACTCAAAACCCATTATTATATAAAGTATTTATTATCGGATACCTAAAACTGAAATACAGAGATAAATGATAATTAATATAGCGGCTAGCAAAGAAGATCTTTATGAGTAGCATTCAGTATATATATTTATTTATTTTAATGATTCATAGCCAGTTGAAGCCGGACCATTAATTACATTTATCTCATTTTTTTTAGATATTAAAAATCAGTAATATCCCATTATAGTTATAAAGTATATTTAGGACTAAGTAACATTACTAATTATTAGAGGTTTAAAACAATGTTAACTAAGCTTGAATAAAGGCAAAATAAAATCTTCAAAAAATTAGTATTGAATACAAAAGGACATAGAACTATTTCAATAAATTTGTTTGCTCTCCATGTGGTGGGTTAGAACTTTTAACGAACGGGTTTTGGCCAAGTGTAATATTATACGCTGCCATAAAAAAAAGATAATGTGTGTCATAATAGAATATTCTTTTCAAAATGATCCTGCCAGGTACGAAAGTATCAGACACTTTATACAGCTTCCTCCCAAGTTGAATTTTCTACTAGGACCGCAGTTAAGTTTCTTAAAATAAAGCCGTTTAATGAGGGATGTCTAATGCATTCATCGATTAGGATAGCTGCATGGGATAGTACCATTAATCGATGGTATACCAGCTCACCTTTTGTGATAAGATTACGGATGTAGCCAATAATGATCTACGGTTAGGATGGTACTCTGACAATGAATCCTTCTTATCAAGTACTTGTTTGACATATCTTTCACATTTTTGGGTACTAATGGTCGTCATAGCTATTTCATTTGACAAAGTTGTACTCTGAGGAAAACACTTTTCAACTACATGTGTTTGAGCCAGATATTATTTTTAAGTTCATTCCCGCACTTAGACCACATGAGACTTAGAAATTGATTGACATAACCCGATGTTTTATAATCCAAGCAGACGATGAACTGTCACCTTGAAAGATTCTTCGAACTCCAGCTGTAAATCATCACTTTGCTTCCAAATATCTTTTTGCAGTATATTCTCCTTTTTTTTAGAATTTTATGTGTTTAAACTTAAAAAAACGAAAAGTAATTTATATTTTAAAATTTTCTTTTTAATATGATTCTTTGCCATATTTTTTATTATTTTTTAAAGTGAATAAAAAAAGAACTTATAGAACTAATGTCCATTTTTGATTTGAATGTACTAAATAACATCGATTTTTGATAAGAAATTATAAATTCACGAATTGCTACATTTTTTATCAAATCTTTCTCATATAATTGTTACACTTTAATGTTTTAAGCCAGTATTCACTAAACTAACGGACTTAAAATATTAGTAAACGCTTATTTCGTACATTTTTGTTTTAGATTTTTCAAAGCTTTTTATTTTTTAAATGTGTTTAAACGTATAACAAATTGCTTATCGATATAAACTCAAAAATAAGTTGAGTGCGATATCATGTTTCACACATGTTTCGGCAAATTCGTGTAGAAATTTTGTTTAGATATATCCAAATACAACACACGAAATAAGAGTTAAAATATTAAAAAACAAAACCCGACTTTAAAATATTTTCAACGTAACAACTCAAAAAATTTAAAATAAAATTATACTTTAAATCTTTATATTTATATTGTATTCGGTTTTCAAACCGAAAACTGAGTAATCAGTTATTCAAATTAAATATACAACACTAATGACAGCATATCTTGTAGGAAATTTCTTCTTCATCATCTAATTCATTTGAAATTTGTTCTTGTGTAGAAAGGTTGAATCAAAGTGGATGTGTCGCGCAATTAAATATTGTAACGGAATTAATTTTAAATTAACTATAATTTGGAGACAGAAATAATATTTTTGGAATACTTGGAAAAATTAGTGGTTTGTTGTTGTATTTGACCTTGACAGATTTGACACATATTGCTTTTCATATATGACAAAGTGAAAAAAGTATATAGGAAAGAAATTTTCTAGATAACAGCTGTTGTTGCCGCCATTCATACACTTGCCTGAAATATTTTGAAATAGTATTTACTGTTTGTGTTTTATTGCTTGAAAGCACAAACTGATATAATTAAGCATCGGCTGTGGTTAATTAATTTAAAAGGTGATAATTTATATTATTGTGTGGCTATTTCATCACAACAATAATGGTTGAGGTAAACTCCAAGATCTGCGAGAATGTCACACACTGCATTTTTGATATGGATGGACTTTTGCTTGGTAAGCCTTTTTTTATTTTAAGAAGTGTGAGATTTTTAAATATATATGTATATATTCATCATTTGGAATTAATATCGATTTTTGGATGATGCAATACGAAATCCTTGTATGTATAAAAGTTAATACAAAAAAAAAAAGTATAAATATCTTTTTACAACACCTGCATATAAGTCAATTGGAAATAAATTATTTTCTATAAATTTTCATCGTAATATTACAGCTTGACATTTGCCCTTCAAAACGTATACATAAAAAGCAAATTACATAGTCATATACACACTCATGTAAATAATAAAATATTTTCAGTAGGACAGTAAATATTATTTCTTAATTCTGTTTTCTATAAATAAAATCAATTTTAATAGCATATATATGTACATGTATTATTATTAATAAAAAACTTTAAATTATAGAAATTATTATATCAGTGTTTTACAATGTAAATTATATAAAAAAATATATATATGTATGTGCAATAGAACAGTTTGGGTTCCAAGAACGGTCTAGTTTACGTCCCAGAGCTACGCGTCGACCTCGACGACTAACTGCCGTTCAACACTCCCCAAAAGGACTACACAAGCGGTTCCAGCAAGTTGCAACAACATAGAACAGCTGAACATTCGCACATATTCTTATATCCTTATAAACTTATTTTTTACTTTGCGTCTTAAAATTGCCTTCTCAGTTATAAGACAGTTTCAGTTAGATCATGTTTAGCGCAATCTATATAACTACCAACTACTAATATATGAAGAGATCTACTTTTTTACGGTAAAAATAAGCTAAGTCATTTGAAAAAAGGAATCAAAAATCGACATACATAAAACTAAATAGTCTTTAAATTTATTAAAAACTCAACAGTCAATAATTTTAGAAGTTTCGAGTTTTTATAATTAAAAATAGTTTCTCCAACACAGTGGTTCCCAACTTTTTTTTAACCAAGCACGTCTATGATATTTTTGTTTTTAGTAGGGAGCACAAAGTTTAAGAATAATAAACTGTGTGACTTTTTTAATATGCTTTATAGTTTACAAAAAAGGTATACAATTATTTGGAAATGTTTGTTTTTATTTTCTAATAAGTGAGGTCTACATAAACAAACTACAAACTATATATTGATACCTCTTAAATTTGAATCAAGGACCGTTTTTAACTATCGGTTCGACCATCGGTTAGGAACCACTACTCTAGCATGTATAATAATATTAGTGGTATTGTTTATGAAATTTAGATCTATTAGTTTGAAAGAATACTATTTAAATTTAAAGTTCATGTAGATTTATAGTGGCCATAATGTAAGAGATATCAACGCTTTTTGCGAATCTAAGAAATGCTAACACTCAATTTTTGAAACGTTTTCCAAATCTCCAAATGAGAAGATGTTTGCTTGTACCGCTAATAAAAATCTGCCCCAATCATCTTACCAATGATAGTTTTGATTTTATTATATTTATTATTAAATTTAAATTTAATACATTCAATTTAAACTAGCTATCGTAGTAAACAATATAAACACTATACGACTATGCCTTTCGCCGTCATTCGGAATTTTAGCGGGGATGTAAAGCAATCCGATATAATAGTATATATATTAAAATTTTCACTATCAGATACTTGTTAAGAGCTCTACATAATTAGTTTTTTAATATGCAAACTCACAAGATGTGTGAAAATAATTTATTTTGGTTATATGAATTAATACCTCAAATATATATATTTGAGTTATATATATACATATATATATATATATATATATATATGTAACAAATTGTTATTAATTAGATGTAGCACTGAACTATACATATTTTTACTCTTATCTGTTGTTTATTTTTCTGATTAAAATCATTATCTCAAACCAATAATCGAGTTGCTGTTTTTTCACCGTTAATGGAAAATGTTGAAATTGTAATTTATAAAAAAAATATTCATTATAATTTTCATATCCATTAATTAGATACTGAAAAGCTCTATACGCAAGCAACACAATCAATACTTGACGAATATGGTGCTACCTATTCCTGGGAGGTGAAAATGAAAGTGATGGGTCTACATAGTCTTGAGGTGGGCAGGATCATTGTAGACACCTATAACCTGCCCATTACTCCCGAAGAATATACAAATCGACAAAGGGCTGCCACTGAAAAGAACATGCAAGATGCAGAACTAATGCCAGGTAAGGTGTAGAAAACGTTATTAATTTTGTTTTTCTGTTTCCCATTACAGACACTGAAGGCATTTACGAAGAAATCACAAGGCAAATAGTTAAGCCCTTCGGTAAAACATATCCTTTTGAAGTGCGCGTTCAGGTTCTTGGCACAAACGAACGCACATCAGCTGAAATTACAGTGAGGGAATTAGATTTACCAATAACTGTTGATGAATTTTTAGAGCAATACCACAAATTGTGTCAAGAAATGCTGGGAAATACTCCCTTAATGAAAGGTTAGATAATTGCTGCTATTTAACTGTAAAAATCGGGTGATTATTATCACTATTGAATGTGTTTTTATTGTTTTTTAAATGCCTTATCATGACTTTGTTGTCAAAACAATTCTCAGAATATCTACTTTTTCATTGTTGCTCAAATCGCAACAAAAAATAATCTATATTTTTATATAGTAGGTCTGTTCAACCAACTACTCATAGTAAAACTTAAGTAAAACACAAGTAAAGTACAAACTAAGAGCGTAACACAAATAAAGTGCCAAATTATGCTTCTTTCACAGATTTTCATGGAACAGCTTTATGTGAAGTCATGTGAAAACACCAGTGCCGCGCAAATAAACAATACAAAAATTAAAATTCAAACTAAAGAGGCTGATTTACACAACACACATTTTACTTTAAAAAAAAAATGTACGAGTAAAGTCTGTGTAGCATTTCAAATTTCGACAGGGATGTTACGCACTCTCAGATGCTCTCATGTACGCGAAAATTTGCTGGTAGAACACACTTGTGTATACACAGTGTTATTCAAAGTTACTACGAGTAGCTCGTGAAACAGATCTAGTATGATGCATCCACATTTCAGTTAGTTTTTCTCGCTTTTTTAACACTTTAAACTTTAAATTTGTACACTGCAATTATTTGCCTTTGATTTCTTTTCTTCAGTTAAATGGAATTTTTAAATTTATATATATTGTTATGTGATTTTTAATTATGATTTTGTGGAAATAATTGCTTGAACTTTAATTTATTTTTAATTTAAATATATTTTGATATACATAGTAATTAAAATATGCAAAAAAAAAAAACAGCAACTATCAAATTTACATGTGTTTATATTTTATCTAAAAATATTCCTCTGCCATAATAAACTTTAAAAATTAAATTAAATTCTAGCAAATATTTTCTTAATAAACTATACAATATTGTTTATAAGACTCAAGTTATAAGGTAGATTGATGTTGTGATATAACAAATGTCTTATACGTTTAACATGTTTATTTCGTTTTCCATTTTCATAATTTATTCATTAATTTTGTTTTTAAATTTAATATATTTATATTATAAATATAAATACATAAATAATATAATTAATATATTAAATTTAATAAAAATAATTACATATTTTTATTAATTATAAATAAAAATAAATATAATAATAATAATATAATTATAAATATAAATATATATGTTTAATAAATATAAATAAACCTATTTTATAAATATTAGTATATACATATAATAAATATAAATATGTATATACATTTAAAAAATATAAAAATATATATTTAATAAATATAAAAACATGTATTTAATAAATATAAATATGGGTTTTTAATATATATAAATTTAATAAATTTTAATTAATAAATTTAATAAATATAGATATATCTGTTTAATAAATAGAAATATACTTATTTTATAAAATAGATATATGTATTTAAAGAATATAAATATATATTTTTAATAAATATAAATATATAAATTTAATAAATATGAATATATTTACGAATATAAATATATTTATATTTAATAAAAGAAAATCTATATATTTGCTTATTATTTATTTACTTGAAATGTTAAACGTTAAAAAATAATATTCCATTTCTGTATCATTTTTCATATCAAAATTATTAAAATTTTGTGATATTTAAATTTATTTTTAAATTGAAAATTTGATTTGTTTCTTAAAATATTACATTATTTATATATGTTATTAATTTTTTCTCATATATTATTTTTAATTGTCATATATAATTTGTTAAATGTTTTGTTCAATTAATTTGTATTTTTGTTACTAATTATTTGTATTATATTATAAATTATATTTTATATTATATTATAGTATATTATACATTATATTATAGTATAAAAAATTATATTTTTAATAAAATAATAAAAATAAATTTTACCATTTTATTCATTTTAATTGATTATTAATCAATTATTTATTTATTATTTAATTTATAATTAAATTATTTTTAATATTCCTGACAAATATTATTATAATTTAATTCATTTCAATTAATTAACCTAAAATATTATTTATATTTAAATTGTAACTAATTCAATATTTTGAGCAAATATTGGTACCAACCTTAATTATTTATATGTATTTATTTGTTTTAAGTATTTTATATTAAATAATATTAAAATAAATATAATAGTTATTTTAATTTTTAATTTCAATTAAATTTGAAACTTTTTATATATACAAATATTTGTTTATTATCACTTTCAAAAATAATTTGTTTTAAAATTATAATGGATATTTTAGATGCATTTAAATATCTCTATTTTTTATGTAATTTTAAATTTATTATTTAGAACTTTATTTTTGCTTAGAATACAATTTGGTATAATTAAATAAATTAAATTTATTTCTACTGTTATTTATATTTATTAATGTAAGTTTTTTTTTAATTAAAATAAATTAAAAATGTAAACGTTTTTTATTAATTTTTGAAAATTAAAAATACATACATAATACAATAACATCATACCATTGATTGCAAAAAGCCAGGAAACGTTAAACAAATACTAATTTTTAATAAAAATTGTGTCCTTAGATATTTTCAAGAAAAAAATAAATAAAATATAATAATAAGTGTGATTTTTTTTATCATTTTTATGTGTTAAATAAACGATCTAAGTCGGATGGAAAACAAAAAATTATAACTTATCATTGTTAAAATACAATTTCTATTACTTAGCTATTGTTAATGTCAATATATCCTAATGACTACTATGGATAATATATATGTATATTGTTTATCAATCAGTATGTTGCCATTTTTTTAATTTTCAATAAAATATAACTTAAGCAAAAATAAGTTGAAGCAAATCGATAAAGTGAAAGAGTTTTGTTGCACAATTAAAACGATGGCAATAGCCAACTTGCCTACGGGCGATAATCATCGAAGTATGAAAGTCTACATTCAACATCCAACTTAAGTGACACTTTTTAATAATCAAAATTATATTTAAAAATAAATTCATTCACAACTTATTATGTTTGGATCAGTAACAGTACGAAGAAAAGCATGTACACAAAAAAAAAAAAACAATAAACAATTGTTTATTAAATTTATAATAAAAAATGATTTGTAACTTCACTATTTTTGCAAAGGGTTGTTGACTTTGCTTAATTTTTTTGTTATTGTTTATTGTTGTTGTGACGTATATAGAAGCTGGGATATAAATGTATTGGGATTACATGTATGTTATTAAATTAATTAAGTTTGCTTATTTTATTTTAATAAATAATTAATTAATATACATTTATGTAATAAAAAAATGTCATTAAAAGGTATATTTTTACTTTTTTATTTGTTTTTTATTTTTAATTTAATTATTTATAATTAATATTATTACGTATAATTAATAATTATTCGAAATTTTTAATTGATTAACTCCACTTTTTAATTTTTAATAATATTTTAATATATATGTTTATATTTTAATATATACGTTTTTATTTTAATGTATATATTTATATTTTAATATATCTTTTATTAATATTGTTTATTAATATGCATACAAATTTTTGTATTAACAAATTTCAATTTATATTATAATTTATTGTCCTAATAATTATATTATAATATTAAAAGTAGTTTAAATTTGTTTTTTGTTATAAAAATAACGTTCTAACAAAAAGAATTTCAAAAAATTTGAGATTAATTTAGAAGTAAGATAACATCTTTAAAATTAGAAAATTATGGAACCATATAGTATGTATGTAACTAATAACATGGGCTTTGGATCGATTATTCAACTTTTGTTTAGAAACCTATTTTCAGTTGTTTTTTTTTTTTGATTATAAAACTTTCAATTAATGAAAGGTTGTGTTAACACTACATAAAAACAATAGATATATGTTTATTAATTCCTATAATTTTATTAAATATGACATCTTATATTGCAAATCATTCAAATAATTCTAACTGAAAAGTGTAGATTATATTAAGATGTTCTTAACGTATTAAGTGCAAACATCTTCTGAAATTTGCACAAATTATCTTAACGACAAAAATTTTATTATATGCAGACCTCAGCGTAGATATAATATATAATTGGCAGCAGCGAAGAGCAATTTATAAATTGGTTAGTTATGATGGCGCAGTACTTTATGCCCAATGCATAACGTTATATAAAATTATAATAGACAGCTGCAGAGACTAGAAAAGTCAAGGATTAAGCTGAGTAAATGCATTTCAGTAATAATACATACGATTACACTTGTTGTTGTCGTAGCCAGCAATAATAAATTATTTAAAAGATTTTAATTCATTTATTTAAGATACCATAAAAATAAAATAATATTGATTAGAAACTTGTCGCGGCTCGTGCTTTGGACAGCCCTGATATATATTAAACTATATTACTTATTAAAGATCAGTCAGAAATTCGATAACGGGTTATTTTTTCCAATTAAATAAGTCTTGTTGAAGATTACAAGTTCGGAAAAGTTGATATCAATAAAAATTTAATTAAAAAAACGTGTTTTATAATATTAAATTTTTAATTCAGCATGCGAAATGATATTCCTTATGATTTCTAAATATATCGAATATATACAGATATATTTATAAGAATATAACTGTTCATCCATCGCTTCTCTAAGTTATTTTTAATATAAGTATATATATTTTATTGTTGTAATTTAATATTATTCGAAATACCACTCTATTGAAAACAATGGTTCGTATTAAGAATTTAGTTTAATTTAATTTAATATAAGTAATTATATAAAAATGTAATATAATTATATTTTAAATACCACATATAAAAAAGTTAAATTAGTAGTTATAATAGTTTTAATATTTAGTATAAAACTCGGAAAGTATGGAACTATATATTTTTTATATATTTTTTTCTAGGCGCTGAACGTCTGCTGCGTCACTTGAGTAAACACAAAATTCCTATTGCATTGGCTACAAGCTCTGCTGAAAATATGGTAAAAATTAAAACCCAAAATCACCAGGAACTTTTTAATTTATTTCACCATCGTGTTTGTGGATCTTCTGATCCAGAAGTTAAAAATGGCAAACCAGCACCAGACATTTTTCTGGTAGCGGCTTCACGTTTTCCGGATAAACCTCAACCAAAAAATTGTCTGGTTTTTGAGGACGCACCAAATGGTGTACAGGCCGCATGCTCCGCTTGCATGCAATCTGTTATGGTGCCCGATGAGCATATACCTCCTGAGATGCGTAAATTAGCCACAAAAGTTTTAAAGTCACTTGAAGATTTTAAACCAGAAGAATTTGGTTTGCCACCGTTCCAAGACGAATAAATTAAAGAATTTTATTCATAACAACTACAAACAGTCCCTTAAATAATATAAATATATATTTTCAGATAAATTTAGCAAAATAATTACTTTTAGAAAGTATTTTTGAACACAATAAACTAACAAACAAATCATTTGTTCCTTGAAAATGTTATTAAGTATTTATAAATACAAAATCAAAATTTTTCAACGAAAATTTTAGAGTTTGAGAAATGCAAAATTATTTAAAATATAATGTAATTTAACTAAAATTTCAAACAATAGATATGTTTTGGCTTTTCAAAATTTTATTTAGTAAATTTACAGTAAGTATCTTGCTATATTTATTTTTTAATATTATATTGTGTTCAGGTTTCGTTCTACTTGGCTGACTTGTTTATTGGAGTAAATAGATCTAGTATGACTTTAGAGCTATTAAATACGCCATTTTCCATTCATCAAATGAATTGCTATTCATCTACATCTTTTGTAAAAAGAGGTGATTAAATCGGACCACAGTCGTTGATGCAATATCTCTTGAATGTAGATATGTGATGAATAAAGATATAAATTACATGATGGATAAGTTAAAGATTTTTAAAATTTTGAATGAATGTTCCTTTGCTCTATGGATATAGTACTCTATGGATATAAGACAATTACGATGTGATCAAAACATGTTTTCAGTTACAGTTTCAAATATTTGCTTTATTGAATTAAACTTCTTTTACAAAAGTTTTCCTAAAGCTAGGTTTACATAGTTTTAGATAGTTCTTAACATACCATTTTCTAAGAGTAGTTATCTTTTTTAGGTAATTAGTTGTTTTCTTCGGTTACAATTTATAGTTTTACAATTACATCTTTTGACATATTTCTCGAAAAAATTTTTAATAAAAATGAGAATTTCATCTTGGTCCAAATATATTCTCGTTCTATCAGCTGCGAAACAATAAGAAGCACAACAACTACCATACCATCTCAAGTTATCCATAAAATCTCGAAATTACCATACCATCTCCCGTTTACCATACCATTATACCAATTTATTTGTTTCAAATTATTTAATCCAGATTTGGTTATTAACTACAAAATTGTCTTGAAAATACAATATTCCAGTTGAGAACACTCGTCGATAATCGGGAGAGAATGAAAATTATGTTTAAAATAGCATCTTATCATAGAGTTAAAAGTTATCATAGGATTAGGTATGTTAACACGTTATTAGTAACTGATTGTTTTTATATTCTAGCTACTATAGGTACACCATTTACTTCCTCAGAAATTATAAGAGGACACATGTTAAGAACAAATTGGTTATGGAAATATAATCTCAAATAATGCAGGTGTTAAAACTCCTATCGGTAATTAAGGGAGATAGAAAGGGAGAGCCAGAATATTAACTTAAAAACTACAAATCCAGTCTTTTTAATAGTCATTAGTTTTAGTTGATATATAATTAAACTCCATAATTAGTGCCATAAATTTGTATCCATATACTTTTCATCCATTTGTTGAAATATACTTTCCGCCTACCTCATGTGTAATTATATAAATTTATTAAAAGCATAGATATAAGTTAGAGACGCATACAAGTTTTTATAATCTAAAAGTCAAATATATTTTTGTAACAATCAATTTATATTTTTATCATAAAACTAATTTTAATATTAATATATTAATAATATTAATATATTTTTTTAATCCCATTCAATAGTTATTGGTTGTATATATAAATCATAGTCAAAGACCTGAAATTGTTCTTTTAGAAAATTATAAATAAAATGTAACTTGTTTTGGAAACATACAGAAGTCAAGTCGTCTCTACCATTTATCGGGATTGTCTAAGTTAGTTTATAATGTGCGAATGTAGTACTAATAAAAGGAGAAGCAAGCGTATATTTAGAAAAGTAACGCATTGCATATTTGAGCTGGATGGATTATTATTAGGTTAGTATAAAAATATTTGAGTATTTAATATTCAGTTTTAGTACGAGGCTCAAAGAATAAAGAATTAAAACTTTGTTTTCGACATTTAGATACTGAAGATAAGTATGAAATGATTATAAAAGATATGATAAAAATATTTAACAAAGAACTTACATGGGAAATACGTTTACAACTTTTCGGAAAAACTGATTTAGAAGTAGCTGAATTTCTCATTGAAGAATTTGAACTACCTGTAACGGTTAATGAATTTTTAGTACAATACTATCGAATTGCAATGAGAAAGCTAAGAGCTTCAGAATTATTTCCAGGTTAATAGTATTAGAATATTCATCATCTTATCTTAATCATATACATTTCTATATATAATAGGAGCTGAGCGCTTAATTAGGCATTTACATAAGAATCGTGTTCCCATGGCATTAGCAACCAGCTCAACAGAAGATATGGTGCGAATTAAAACGCAGGGGAATCGTGACGTATTTAGACTTTTGCATCACAAAGTATATGGGGGTTCAGATCGTGCAGTACGTGAGAGAAAACCAGCTCCAGATATATTCTTTATTGCATCACAGCGCTTTATTCCTTGGGTGACACCTATGGATTGCCTAGTATTTGAACACTCTCCAAATGGTGTACGTGGTGCAAGAACTGCTAAAATGCAGTGTGTGATGAAGCCAGATAAACGCTTTCCGGCTGAAGAAATGCGAGAAATAGCGAATGAAGTGTTAAATTCTCTAGAAGATTTTAGGCCAGAGCTATATGGACTTCCAGCATATCCACAACAATGACACAAAAGTATTGTTATATTAAATTAAATAAAATTTAAGGTGAAAAAGCTTTATACAAGTATTTATTATAAATGTTAATTTTGATTGAAATATTAAATGTAATAAAAAACTGAACTCAATATCTTACGTTAGTTTTATGAATGACAGGTTGCCTTAATTGTCTATAATGATGATTTATTATTTATATATTCCAGAAGAAATTTTTCTTTTTAGTTATAAAATTAAATTCGCCATGGAACTAAAGTTAGAAGTTAACTTAAAATTGATAAATAATTATCTTAATAAATACGAAAACATTCATTCAATATCATGATATTCACATTTTGGTTATAAACCCAGTATTAATGAAGCTTAAAAATAACACATAACAGTTAAATTAATCTGAGAATAGCTGTATATTATTATATATACATATGTATTAAATACCAAGTACATGCGTTTTTTAGAAATTTAGCTTACTGAAAGTTATATTATACACTTGTTATAGATTAAATTATGAATAAGTGAGGATCCCATCACCATTTTAACGCTATGCTCTGTGTATGGAGTAAAAATACCATTAAATGTTCAAAACCACTTTCGTAAAAGCAAGTTCTGTAAAAGCAATATGGTAAAGCTTCAAATATTTTGTTTCACTCTTGATTAGGTCTTAATAAGATTAAGATAATAATAGCAGTACTGCACACAAATTAAAGATTACTGGACAAAAAGTTGAGTGAGGCGGAAACGTGAACTGCTTTCTCTGTTCACAATTCTTTGTTATTGGTATTATATACAAGCGTCTTTCCAATATCAATTTCATCATGATCAGTTGAGAAATTCGCAATCTCGTATTTTTTATAGACTGTTGATTTTCGTTTATTTCATTTTCAATATGTAAGTTATATTCCGAAATCGTATGATTTACAAGATCCTTTAAATTGCTTTTAAATTAGAAACTTTTATTTCTCTAAGATTTATGTTGCTTAGAACAAATATTGCTTCCAAATTTTCAAAACAGTCTGCAGCTTGTAGACTGTACCCGCTTTTGGTTATTGTAACAAATATTTAAAAATAATTCCAAAAAAAAATTCATAAATTCTTTTTTTCAATATGAAGTCACAGTACATAAAACGAATTTTCGAACAGCACAAATAATTTAAATTAAATTACATATATTTATTTCTTCTTAAACACACACTGTTCCTTTTGTAATTACATTTGGTATTATTGAAAGCGATATTGATAATATATTAAAAATATATTTTATTACTTAAACAAAATAAGCTATTGAAACACATTTGCGTTTAATTCATTTCCATGTTGAAATTATTTTCCGACAGCCTCTACTTGCTTCTGTATATCTTGTGCAGATTGGTTGGTTAGCGATACCGAGGTTTCTTTACCCTTTCCTATAAAATAGAGCAAAAATATTATTTTTATGTGATATAGGAAAATTAACGAAAGTAATTGTACAAAATAATTACCATATCGTGCCCACAAACGAGGCTGTATACCTTCACATTCACGTATCAAAATAGGTAGTGTTGGATTACTCTTCTTTAAATTGGGGTAGTGTTTCTCCACATATTCCCTGTGATTATATTTAATGCATTTATATTTAATATTTTACGATTATTATAAAATTATGTAATGTGTACAAAGATTTTTTCGTGTACGGCATATAATAGTATATTACCTAGCTCCTTTTGATGCTTCACCGGTTTGACATAAATGAATACGAAGCTCTTTTAGATTTGTTGATAATTTTGATAAACGTACTACTGCCAAACGCATTTCAATAGATTTTATTAGCTATTGTCCAAACAAAATTATTTGATCAACACCAATAAATGAGAAGAGCCTGTTTATTTGTTAAACTTCAAAAGCATATGTTAGATTTTCTGTGTATCGAACTATTCACAATTATATTTCCCACTATTGCAATTATTTTACTTTCATTAATAATAAAAATGTTTATATTTTTTATTAAAATTCAAATTAAGAGTATTTAATAAGTGTGATTGGTGTGGATTTTTTAATTAAATTTTATTTATAATAATAATAGTTATTTTGCATATATGAACTTATCATAATTTTTACTATTGTGAATTTAAAAAAATAAATAAATAAAAACTAAATCAGCTGTTGCAAAAAATGGTCTGCCAGAAAATATTAATATGCACTTCATTTGTTTGAAAAACATTTATAAAAACGAGAAATATACAAAAACTTGTTAGTTTATATATAACTATATTTTAATTCTTATAAAAGCAATTTTGTATTTTGCAACAATAGCGCTATAGTTTATAGTTTAAATAATTGAAAATAAAAGTTTACAAATAAGTGGAATCTAGTGTAAACAAATTACTCTAAAAATGGTAGAAATAAGTTGACGTGTAAGTTGTGTTAAATTAAGTTTTCCAAAAATAATATCTGTAGAAGATGAGTATGGAAGAGAAATTAAAATATTCACTCCTACGCGGTGAACTGACAGATAATCAAAGCATATGGACTCGGTATATCACATATATAATCCTAAAATTTTAATAAATTCAATAATGTTTATCTATTTTAGGCATGAGAAACGTGTCTGGTTTTTAACATTAATTACTGGAACATGTATGTTGTATTCAACGCGTACGACAATGCCGTTGCTGGTGCCTGCAGTTGCAGCCGAGCAGAAATGGACCAAAACAGACTCAGGAACTGTACTGAGTTCATTTTTTTGGGGATACACCTTAACGCAGGTAATAGTTGGCACTACACAATATCAACGTGGTCATATCAGTTAATGTATAAAATATTTTAAACTGGTAAAAATAATGAATGTTCTTTAAATATTTCTGCCTTTATATACAATTTTGAACTAGAAATTAAATTACAAATTCAATTTCGTAATTTAAATTTAATTTATATTTTTAATTTCTGAAATTATTGCACTCTTGCAGAATCATATGAAAAAGAATTCAAAACAACTATAACTGTTTATATTATGTTGCAAAAGGAGTCTAAGGAAAAATGAAACTTGCGTCTCAGGTAGACTGTATTTCTTGATTTTAGAAGACATCGATTTTTGTTCATATTGAATTTATGATCCATATAAAGGCACATAAAACATAATGTACAGTTTCTACAAAAGTCACACAACTTTTATAGCTTTGCAATTTTAATTATATTTGTTCATAATCCGCATCTTTACTGACAAGTGAAAGTTCGTCATGTGTGTCCTATCACGTGCCTCTAGTACGATTTCAAGCAAATTTCCAAGTTTTAAATTGGGTTATTTTTATAAGGATGTCGCAAATTATTGTACTATTAATTATACTTCTTATATCTAGTTCAGTTAAATGCAAACTCTAAAATAAAAACTTTTTGAATTGTCAGATAATTTCATTTATGACTATAACAGTCTGTCAATTAATTATCTCAAGATTTAATTCTTATTTTATAGCAATTTATTCTGCTTTAATATTTTTAATGACAACAACCAATAACGTTTTACTATTAAAAGTAAATATTTAGTTTGTGTTGTAATCGCCGGACAGGAGAACCGTCTAAAACAAAACGATACTCTGTAATATAAACCAGCTTGATCTTGGATTGGTTTTATTTATGAGAATTAATTTATTTTTCAAAAAGCCTTCTCTTGAAATTCCTTAAATATACTTTCAGCCCTGGTAATCTTATTTACAATAATACTTCAAATTTACCACAAATAATTAACAATAGTTGTAAGCATATTGTTACTCTACGAGGTCATCTAGTTTTTCTGTTTATATTATTAATGTTTGTTCCAAGTGTTAATAGTTTATACCAGGGCTGTCCAGACCATATAAGATCGCGGACTAATATAAATCACTAAATAGTTTGGAGGACCGAAGAAATAAATATATACGTTCATAATTTTTTCATAAGGAAACCTTATGAAAAATATCGTATTTTTAATATAATGATTTACGAAACTGGATACGAGTTTTTTGAACCAGTTATACAAAGAAATATATACTAAAATCTTTGTTAATTAGGTAAATGAACGTGAAGTGTAATAAATTATTTAAAACATTTTAATTTATTTATGTGGGATCCGATAAAAATAAAATAATGTGATGTTATTAAAATATAACGAAGAAAAATTTGCATTAATGTGGTAGATTAGAAACATGTCGCGGAGCACACAAAGATTAGTTGCGGATCGCATTAGACCCATAGGCTTTGGACAGCTCTGGTTTATATGACTTATATTGTATTTTTTAAATAAGTAACTAAAAGAAAAATGTATAATAATTATCGTAATATTAATATTATATATTAATATATATAATATTAATATTATTAATATTAATATTAATGTCTCTGTATATATTTATTTATTGATATTTATAAATATATTTTTATACATATATAATAATATATAATTATTATTGTATGTATAATTATAAATATAATTGAATTTGTGGCTGACCATAAACTTGGTTCGAGTATTGCCATATACCCATGATCAATGGACTTGAAATTACTTCATATATTTAATTCGTAAAGATTGCATGTACCACGAGTTGAACTCGTTTAAATTTATCGAACAAATTTAAATAAATAATAAAATGTTTATGTATATTATATATATATAATTATACATATATTTGTATATACTCATATATATATTTATATATTTAACTTAATTAAACAACAGAAACGGATGAGAGGTATCTGAATCATATATATGTCGGAAGTAAGCATTGAATTTGTGTACAATTTTTAAAAAGTTCTTGGACAAAGGAACTTTTTATATATGGGATTGAGAGAGAGTAAGAGAGAGGAGAGGAGATCACTGCTTATTTTTTCAGATTTTAATGATTAATAAAATAAGTTGTGTATAAGAAAAACTTCTGTTGCAGTTGTTAAGTTATTGTTTTTTGAAATATGTTTAAAACAAATATTCACATATTTTTCTGAGCTATAAATTATTATTATTATTTATTATTCACATGTTCTAGCATCACATTAATAAGGGGGTAAATTAAGAACTTCGTCTATTTACATAGGGTTTCCACAAATCTCAGTTTCTAGCTATATGTCTTAACTAATTAATTGTTTTATTCGTTTCTTTATAAACGATTCTACGTCATGACATCCTCTGTTTCTTGCACCTTGGGGGTTTCATTATAGCGCTACATGTACTATTTCGTTTGCGACCTTCCGAAGTGTATGCTCAATCCACTTATATTTCCTGCGCACTACTTTTTTCTCAATAGGAATTTATTTAGATATTTGCCACAAACTAGCATCAGTTATCGTACGGGGCAATCAAATACGGACTATACGTCGTAAACATCTATTTACAAATGTTCATAGTTTACGAATCGCAGATTAGCACTGACTTGACGAAGGAATTAAATATTTGAATTTTGGTTTCTCGTTATATTGTCATAAAACTATAAATAATATATATGTATATAGTATAAATAATAAATTTTAAAACATATTTCTAGGTTGCATTGCTAACTTTCCTAACTTAACTAGTCTAATTAGTGAGGAAACAATTCAAATAAGTACATTTGTAATAATTATTCAGATAATGTTATACAGAAATTGCTAGTTTCTTAGAATTTTTGTTTCTTAATGTCGTTGAAAAATATTTTTAATCTGAAACTATACATTAATAAGTTAAAAGACTATTATTATTAAAGTCTATAATATAACTGATAATAAATGAAAATATATTTATATTCGAGAACAGCAGTTGATATGTATCTAGAATGAATATGCTGCAATTTGCTGAGTAGTTACTATGTTTAATTAATATTTGTGTTATTCTAATCTTAAATATAACTTTTTATTTACTATATATTTATTTATTTATTAATATTAATATATTTTTTTTTACCTTTGCAGGTTGTTGGCGGATATTTCAGCGATCGGTTTGGTGGTCAGAAAGTTATTTTATTTGCCGCAATTGGATGGTCACTAATAACATTCTTTATGCCAAACATAATATGGTGGGCACCTGAAATCAAAACGTATTCCATACCCTTTATAGTAACAATACGCATCATAAATGGCGCCTTTCAGGGTGTACATTTTCCAAGCATGATTAGTTTAACTAGTCAGGTAAGAGTCCATGTCTGTCGTTTTTGTTAAATTAATTTATTTTTTTTTATTTTAGCTTATTTTTATTGTGTATAAAAACATTCTTAATTTGTGTTGTAAATAATTGCAAAGAATCATGTGTTTTAACCATTGTAAAACTTATATATTATTCTGAAGCTACATTAACTGAATTTTTTAGCTAATATCTATCTTATATATTTTGTTTTTTTTTTTTATAATTATTTTGACTGTAGCTTATAATATTCATTGTGTCTATTCACTATTCTAATGTAGTCTATTCTAGTCTATTTGGACTGATCACATACATATGTATATGTTTATTATCAAAAAAAAGGGATGCTTGCTACTTCTTTCATACTTTTTAAATTATTAGTATTGATTGTTCCGAAATGTGTATTAGTCTATTATATTTTTAAGGTTGCTGTAATTTTAGCGCCTACTTTTGGGAAACACTAGTTTTTTTAGCCTGACAAGGACAATCACACTCCGAGTGATAAGGCTTTTAAAAAAGGTGTTACTTAGTTGGGTCATGACATCATAATATTTTGAATGGTTTTATATCTAAAAATTTGTTTAAGTATTTCTTTGAACAGTCGAGCCGAGAATAGTTAGTATTGATAAATTTGTATTACATATATATTTTCCAATAAAATAGAGAGTAATAGTAATGTTCCATTAGAGTTGAAATTGATTGTTAGAACTATATTAGAACTATTAGACCAATAAGTAATATAACCAGTGGCGTCGCTAGGCGTCAGCGATGTCGGCGACCGGCATTAATGGCATTAACTATATTCGAAGTATTCCCTAATGTTTATATAGTGATTAGATTCATGTTCACAGTTCCAGTCAGTATTGCTTCGACGAAAAGAAAGAAGCAAAATTAAAATTGTTTAAGACGTAATAGAAAAGTATGATGGTCCAAGAGAGACTATCTTCATTATGATATAATTTAAAAAAAAAATAGGGTGATACTAAAAGTAGGAAAATTCATTTATTTTAATTTGTGTTTATTTTAAATTGATTAGGAATAAAACTTTCAATCATGCTTTGTCGTATTAGTGAATGTAACATATTTACTTTTACAATTGGGTTATAAAGGGGGTCTCGCAATTCTGATGTTGCCGACGTGCAGAGTTGGTTTAGCTCCGCCACTGAATATAACAATCACTTAATGGTTTAATGGTGGTATAACTTCTAGATCTAGTAATGTCAGGTCTTATTTGAGAAAAAACTTATATAGAATTATATGTTCCAATATATTCTAAAATCTCTTTCATGTTGCAGAACTGAGTAAACAAGACAAATAATTTCCGTTTAATGAATTTGGACTGATTCAAGTCGAATATGTGAACAGAAATTCAATCGACAGAGAGAACAAATAACAGAAAAGTTGTAATGAATCCTAATAATAGAAAATTCTATCACTTCTTATACCAATACGAATCAAATCAAGAAATGCATTTGGGGAACGGACACTAAAAGTTTAATTTACTAAATACTTATCAAATTAACATATTGAAAATAATTTAAATAATAAATTGAATTCTCTATCTCTGTCTAAGAATGATGCAGATGTTACAGCAAGTGATCCAGTATTTTATATAATTTAAATATTATTCAGGTAAAATAAATATTTAATTTTACTGAAACTATTTTATTGTCTGTGTTCTAGTTGGCTGGTTCTCAAGATTTTAATGCTGATAGGTTATGGATTTCACTTCATGTGTTTATAAATGTTTACGAAATTTCCTGTTTTATTGATAGGACTTGAGTTATAACATATTTCTGTTAAACGCTTTATAGATTATATGTAGATGGCTAACAAAGGTTTTCTGAAAGTATTATTAGTCCGTCATTAGGATAGATTTTTTCTCTTTACAAAACTAGATATGTACGTAAGATGAACCCACGTGAATATTGCAAAGAATATGGACAATTTAATATAAACTCACTAATAATATTATTTCATATTTTTTTTTAGTTTTGAAACAAATATTCAACAACCCAATGTATTGATGCACTTATTGGTGAACATGCTTTTCTATGGTATAGAATATTATATTAACTTTAGTATTTGAAAAAATATTTTTTGGCCATATTTTTCGCCTTTTAACTCTTTTTGTTATAGAGAGATAATTTTGAGTATAACGTAAATATAATAATAATAAAGTTTCTTAGCGTGAATGATTTCAAGCAGCCTCTTTTACTGAACATAGGCTGTCTATAAGTGGCTACCGCCTTTCGCCCCGCAACGCTACGTTCTTTATATCAGTAATGTTGCTTATGCTTCTTCCAAGGAGCTGCAAAAAAGTATTTTTTTTATTTAACGTTGCCTTTCTCCATGTTGTTTTTGGATGACCTCTTCCTCTGCTATCTTGCGGGTTGTATACCAACGCCTATTGACAAATTTCGGTATGACCCTTTCGAGATGTATGCCCGAATCATCCAAATTCTCTCTTTTGCGAATTTTAAGGTTTACATATTTTACATTTGTTCTGGTCTTAAGGTCTTGATTTGATATTCTGTTTGGCCAGAAAATACGCAAAATTCTGTAAAGACAGCTGTTGACAAATACCCTCAGCTTGCTTTGTATGTTTTCCGTAACAAACCAGGTTTCGTAACCATACAGGAAAACTGAAAGAACGTATGCTCTAAAGATTTTTATCTCTGTGCGTAAACTATAGGTATTGGAGCTCCACACTTTACGAAGCCTTGTAAAAGCGCTCTGGGCTTTCTTTATTCTACTTATCACATCTTGCGCTGTACTTCCATTTTTAAACACAATACTCCCTAGATACTGGAATTCATTTACGCGTTTAATGGTCTCCATTTCCAATTTCAAAGGTTCGTCAATTTGTTTGTTTATTGTTTGCACAGAAAACAAAAGAAGTAGATAAACAATCGAATTGAGGATATTTATTGCATATTTTCAATTCCATTCCAAAATCGTCGCCCATCTGTTCTATTGTTCCACTGCACACACAAACCTCCATCCAATCGATCTTTGAACCCATCCCATTGAAGTGACCAGATTCCTCCAACTGAACACGGATTTACTTCTATTTAAATCGCAATCATTCGCAATTCACACCTTCTGCCTTATTTTCACTTCCCCGTAACTTCAAACATCACTCATCCATATCCTAACTCATATAATCGTCTTGTTAAACCTTTCATGTTATGTGTTTTTAGGTTCCAGCGGATTACAACAACAACAATAACAATCACATAATAATCTTAAAATGCTTTCTTTGTATTTATATTGAATCTTATTAGTGTATTTTTTTTTAATGCTAGTCATCTAATGATAGTCATTTTAGAAAAATAGCAAATATGTTTGTGTGATGGCACAACCTATCTATATCTATCTACTTAGATATATATACAGTGCTGTGCATAACAAAAGCAACCAAAATTTGTCCATCAAATAAATAAGTTTTTTGTCTACTTTTTACTTTTCATTCAAAAATCTAAATACACAGTTTTATTTGTTATTGTATTAGCTATTATAAAAAAACAACAAAATCTACAATTCTTCATAACGGGTTAATTAATTCACACAAATAATAAAATATTGCGAAATGCGGCTGTGCAGAACAATAGCAACTTTATTTATTATATTAAATTTTTGTATTATTTTTCTAAATTTTGTATAAAGCCCTTTGCTTTTTATTACTTGGGCACTTATACGGGTCATAGGTGATATTAAATTGTTAATAAAACTATTTGGAATTTTACACCATTCATCTTTCATGACCTCAAACAATTGGAAACTTTTCGACCCCCAAAGCGACGTTTGAGAATACCAAAATGTTCTCAATTCAATTAAAATCAGGTGTTTGGGCTGGCTAATCTAAAATTGGAATTCCATTTTTCAAAATCCATTCTCTTATCAGCTTTAAGGTGTGTTTTGGGTCGTTATCGTACTGATATACCCGTCGGAGTGACATTTTTCATCCGCCATGGGGTACCATATGGCTCTCTAAAATTTTTTTGTACACATGTTGGGCTATTATTTGATGAATTTCATGAAAAGATCTTAGTCTAAATCCTGAAAAGAACGCTCAAATTATTACTGACCCACGCCCATGCTTCACAGTCGCTTGGCAGTTATGCGGATACAAACGATTTTCTTTTTCGCGACGTACTGTGCACATCCCATCAGAATTAAAGATGTTAAATTTTGATTTATTGCTGAAAAAAATTATTTTCCATTTAGTAAAGGTCCAATTTAAGTGATTCCACGCGAAATTTGATCTAAATGAAGTATATTAATATTAATTAAAAAGCAAAACAAAAATCTGCCTCTTTTGCTAATGCTTTTTAGTCAACATTGGTTTTTTGACTGGTCTGTAACTTTTGAAACCGGCTTCGAGAGTAAGCCTGCGTACAGTATTAGAGTCAACACCTTGTTTAAGCTCGGCTACGACCTTTTTCAACGACACGAATGGTTGTTTTTTTTGTAATTCTTATGATGTTTCGATCAATTCTACAAGTAATCTTAAGAGAGCCTTCACCCAAATAAACCGTTTTAACGGTATTTTGTCTAATTATATTTTTTTATAAGCTGCGAAACAATAAATTAATTAATTTTAAATATTTTGGCTATTTCATTTGAGCACTGCCATTTAAATATTTTTCAATTCTTGCTTCTTTAAACTTCAAAGTATACGTGTCACGAGCCATGATAAAAACGTACTTCCATTACCTGATTTAATATTGAACTATTTTGTGTTTATGTTCTAATTTGCTTAAAAACATAAATCACAGCATAAAAATGCAAAAAATCAAAAAAATATCTTGCTAGAATGCACTTTGGTCATAGATCTATCATTGATCTTGTCTCAGTTGCTATTGTTCTGCACAGCCGCATTTCGCAATATTTTATTATTTGTGTGAATTAATTAACCCGTTATGAAGAATTTTAGATTTTGTTGTTTTTTTATAATAGCTAATACAATAACAAATAAAACTGTGTATTTAGATTTTTGAATGAAAAGTAAAAAGTAGACAAAAAACTTATTTATTTGATGGGCAAATTTTGGTTGCTTTTGTTATGCACAGCACTGTATATCATCACTAAACTTCTGAGTATATCATCCACATCCTGATTTATTTGGAGACAAATAGCGTTAGATTATTTCTATATTTGAATAATTAGACCTGATAAAAATAATTAAATACTAATTTATAATTTTTCTTCTTATATTTCTAGAATCTTTGCTCAAATGAACGCACAAGTTTTTTTGGACTTCTCACTGCCGGTTCTGCCATGGGCACACTGCTTACCGGTATATTGGGTTCCTTTGTTTTAGATTACTTTGGTTGGTCATATGTGTTTCGAGTAATTGGTTTCCTTGGCATTTCTTGGGCTTTAATATTGCGGTATTACGCAATGGCAGGCGAACGGAGTCGTATTATAAATGTTTCTGCACCAGCGAGACTATGTACCAATAAAGCAATTGATACTGTGCCGTGGTTGCGCTACTTTAGACGTTTATCATTTTGGGCGTGTGTTCTAACGCATGCATGCGAAATGAATTGCTTTTTTGTGCTTCTATCGTGGTTACCAACATATTTTCATGATGGATTTCCGCATGCCAAAGGTTGGATTGTAAATATGATACCTTGGTTAGCGCTACCACCCTGCACATTCTTTGCCAAATACCTCACTGGACGATTGCTGACACGCGAGTGGTCCACTTCGTCCGTGCGTAAAATTATACAAAGCTGCTGCTTTGCCGCACAAAATCTCGCACTTTTCATCATGAGCCGTACCAATAGCTTTTCCACTGCTTTAATATGCATGACAGTCATAATTGGTATGTCAATTTTATAGCAAATAGATTTTTAATAATCCAATTCTCAATTGCAGGTGGTACAGGCTTCCATAACAATGCAGTGACTGTGAATCCTCAAGACTTAGCACCTTCCCATTCGGGTAGTGTATTTGGACTAATGAATACGGTGGGAGCAGTGCCTGGTTTTCTAGGTGTTTATCTTGCTGGTCATATACTGGAAGTGACGCAAAGTTGGCCTACTGTTTTTAGTGCTGCCGCTGGTATTAACCTCATTGGATGGGCAATATTTGTTATATTTGGTTCAGCAGAAGCAATTGTGTGATTTTATATAAGCAAGCATCGTGTATTAGACAAGTTCCATTGCTATATTAATTAAACATTTCCATAAGTAAAATTCTCCGTTGACTTAACATTAGAAATGTGTACTATATTTTAATTAGGTAATTTATTAATTATTTTGTAAAATATATTGTGTGTACATATATACTTAATATGTAATCAGGTTTATTAATTTTAATAAAAGTGATATACACATAAATCAAATAATAATTTATTTATTGTCATATGCCATCATTCTGCAGACTCTGATATATGATCGTAACCCCACAAATATTAATGCATTATATTGGTATACACCTAAACAACTCAATTTGCCTTAATGTACTTATATTCATATATTTTCATTAATAGCAAAAATTATAAGCAAATGCTTACGATATAAAAACAATCACGTTTCCTTTTGAGTCAACAAATTTATTGTTTTTTATATATAAAAAGTATTAAGGGTTAACGCCCAATAAAAAAGACGAAACATTATGATTGGTTTTCGAAAAAGGAGTAAAATCTGTGTGCCTCTTTCTTAAGTGCTGAATTGCTGACTGTACAGGGTTAGGCGATTGAAGTGTTACCAAATACACAGAGGTATATCTGTTTAACTAATACGTGAAATTCATTTAAATTACACCTGTTTTTTTTTTACAAGCTACCACAAGCAATTGCGTTTAAGTTTTATAGAACAAAAATTAATCGAAATGGAATTGAAACGTCATAGTGTGATTGCGTATTATTTGACTGGAAAATCTCAACCAGCTATTGTTCGTGAGCTCAAACACCTCAAAATGAATACAATGTTTGGTTATCGTACTACAAATTGTTATAATAGCACAGGCAGCGTTGCCAAACGCTACGGTGGTGGACGAAAAAAAACAGCAACATCACCTGAAATGGTTGGGAAAATTTCGACGTGAAAAAATTCACGTCGTAGTGGTAATCAAATGGCCAAAGAACTGAAAATATCACAGCGAAGCATCTGACACATGTTTCAAAATAAGCTCAAGGTAAAGCCTTACAAGTTCTAAATGCCACAAGATTTCACACTAAAACAACAAAAAGTTTGGCTCGAAGAGCAAAGGAGTTGTTACGCTTCCACGAACATGACGAATTTCCAAACATTGTGTTCTCTGATGAGAAAAAGTTCCCTATTAACTAGTTTGGACTCTCAAAATGACCGTCTTGTTGAAGATTTGAGACTATGAATGGCCACCCGACGTAATTTTCCATCTTAAGTAATGGTATGGGCAGCTGTAACCGCCGATGGAGGCTCTCCAATAAATTTTATCGAGCCTGGTGTCAAAGACAATGCGACTTATTATCGAGAAAATGTTTTGTAAGTTGCTTTATAGCCAAACATTTCGGTCGTAGACCATGGACGTTCTAACAAGACTCGGGATCGTCTCATAAAGTTCGTGTGAACCAAGAATCAGGTTCGAAACTTTATTTCGTCTACAGATTGGTTTTCGAATTAGCCAGATGCAAATCCGATGGACTCTTCCACAAATTTTTATAATTTAAATCAATATAAAATTATTTTACACATAAAAGGTATGGTCGCTTGATGAGGTAACAATTCAATCGCCTAACCCTGTATACAAAGTAAGCATATTATTTTATACAATTATATTCCTTACAGGAATACTGTTTGCAAGAAAAATTAAATCTATTAACTTCACTAATAATAAAAACTTATAAATCCAATTATTACGCACGATATTTAGAGAAGTTTTGACATATATGGGCCATCTAGTTCATAACCAAATTTGCGATAATAATTGCGCGTCCCAACACCTGATATAACAGCCAATTTAGTACTTTCGTGTTCTTCGCGTGCAATACGCTCTGCTTCTTCCATAAGCAGCATGCCGAATCCCTAAAAATAAATTTCATAAAATATATATTTATTCTTAAAGGTTTATAATATTACTTGATGTTGGAATTTAGATGGGTCTCTTGCGTTAACAGGTACGACTGAGCCGTATACATGCAGTTCACGAATAATAGAACATTTGCCTTTTAGTTCCGGCCTAAAAGATTCCTCTGAACATTGACGTAAACGTAATAATCCAACAAGTATATCCTGTTCAGGATCTTCGTACGAAAGGAAAGTTTCCCAACCTCCATTAGCTACATAATCGCGACGTACCAATTCAATTTCGTTTGGACGTATTTTATTGTGAATTTCTTGTATACCCACTTCGCGAGTACGTATATCACGGCATTCAGTGCCAAGATCTTTCATTCGTGCTAATGCTAGCTCACGTAGGTTGCCATGTTCCACTCCAGAACTGTACAAGTTTTATAATAAGTAATGAATATAATCGACCTTATATTTGAAAAATAAACCTTACCTTACAAGCGGCATAGGTATATCACGTTGTACACGATATACTCGTGTCCATGGTGGCACTAAGGCTAAAATTTTTGCCACTAAATCAATTAACACCTCCGGTGAATATGATTTATAGCGGCCAGATTTCCACAACTCATAAAGTCCTGTTCCGCGAATAACCAATGTTGGATAAATTTTTAGGCCATCGGCCCGAAAATCGGGATTCTCAAAGAATTCCTATAATTCGGATTTAGTTTAAATATTTGTACGGATAAGTGCATAGTTTTTCTTTACCTTAAATTGTGCAATATCTCGTTCTAAACCAACATTTGGCAAATCAGGCATCATGTGTGCAACAATTTTGTATCCAGCGTCTTTACCTAGCTGAAAGCTCTCTGTTACTGCTTTTACAGTGTGCCCGCGATTGGTATCACGTGCCACATCTTCATAAACAGATTGTACACCAATTTCTAAACGTGTGCAGCCGTATGACAACATGTCAGAAAGATGACGTTTAAGGCAATAATCAGGTCGCGTTTCAATTGTGATTCCAATACACTTAGTACGCGATTTTTCTGAATAGCGTACTGCTTCAGCGACATTGCCACTTGTAAATCCTGATAGTGCGTCATGTAAATTTCGGATAAAATAATCACGATACTCTTCAGACAAACACATAAAAGTACCACCCATTATTATATATTCAACTTTATCCACAGAATGTCCAAGCTGCTTTAGTTGTTCAATTCGGTGACGTGCTTGTAAAAATGGATCATACCGTGCACGTATGGCACGCATAGATGTAGGTTCGTAACCAGTATAAGATTGGGTTGAATACTCGAAATCACTATCCGGACCACCTGGACAATAAACACAAATATTGCCTGTCATATTTATATGAGGACATCTATGTGGTTTACACATAACGGCCACAACAGCAATCTGAAATATAAAAAATGAATAAAAAAACTTATTGATGATAAAACATTTTTCGTACTCCACTGGCTGTTCTTATTGGCTTAGCTTTAAGTTTCGGCAATAGAATATTTTTCGACTCCTGTGGTACGGCAGCAATAATATCCACCAGACGTGGAGAGCTCTCTAAACCATATTGGGACGAAATTCGTGATTTGAGACGATTTAAATTAACATCTTTTTTAACTTCGTGTGCTTCTAAAAGTTCCTTAATAATTTCACCTATGACGATCACTTTCCGCTCTTCCTGAGTTAGGCCAATGGCTAAATCGGTTTATATTTAAGATAAATTATAAGATTACTAAAGAATTTTGGTATTTCGTACCCAATTTCTTCCTCTCTTTTGTCATCACAACTTATCCGGATTACTTGCCAGAGTCAATGTATACATGTGGTTATTTCAATGAAATGTCAATTGTAAACGGTTTGTTTGTATGGATCGATAACAACGAATTAATCCAACAAATAATCGATTTTTGTAGTTGTGGTCGGTGGCAACAAATGTAAAAACATGCCTGTGTATCAAAGAACAATTTTCGAAAACGAAGTCAATGAAATTTTCGTTCACTTAAAACGTTAAGAAAATTTTATATTCGCTCGAGGTAGTTCACTCTTCGGGCTCATGACACATTTTATAATTATTTACAAATTATATTCTAATTGATTTTAGTTTATTTATCTTCAGTTATATAAATATATATATATATGTATGTCTGTAATCAATTTTTAATTTTTTAAAAAAGTTTGTCAGCTTTTTTAAAAAAAATATGTGTCATATTATAATATAAAATCGAACATACATTTAAATGTTGTTTTCGCTTCCGCCCATTAAAACAAAATGAAATATGCATGGAAGTCGATAAACATGCGACTGTACACGAAAAAAACGAGTAAGGGCCATATTATGTAGAGTGTTACAGACAAATTACTACAATTCTAATAAGTTTTAAAGAAACAATGTTAGGAAGCCACACAGCATATTTTAAAAACCGCTAATAATCTAATTACCACACTTTCCGATTTTAGGGAAAGGTGTATAATTTTATAGCTACTGTTAACAATCGTTATAAGAATATATAATAATAAGTCAACATATTTACAGTCTCCGAATTTTTTCTTGCTGGTTATTTTTGGTGGCAAATTGAAAGCGAGCATATTTACATTTCCTTTTAAATTTAGACACAACCAAGAAGTACTAAAAAATAGTGAAAATACGAAATTGGCAATACTGAAGTTACACTCTACATAACATGCATTTTCAGCATAGCTCGAAAGAAGCAATTTTGCCGTGCCTGTGACACTCTACCTAACATGGTTCCAAGACTTAAGAGAAATCGAAATATTTTGATTTTTATTGCTTCCCTTGTCATTTCTGCAAATCTTGCTATAACACATGAAACTTGACATAAATTTCGCATTTAACGCGCTCGGCGAACAAGTCAGGCATCATGTGTAATACCCCTTTTATGATTGTAGCAATTGTTGTGTTCAATGCAAAATGAACATTTAACACTGACAGTTCACTTTATTTTGCATTGAAAGCAAAAATTGCGTGATGTAACTGGAAACATGACATACCCCTAATACAGCATTTACACTGACCGAAAATGGCTCATTTTGGTCAAAAATTGAAAATGAGAAGCGAATAGCTCATTCTTGTATATAAAACTTCAAGCGCGTATGCGATCCATTTCATCACATTCTATATGAATGCATTCCAACGACGTTCAAATGCGTTCCAAATACAAAGGAATACATTGAGCATACTCTAAATAAAACCTCTTCAGGGCATTTTTATAGTTTGAGAAAGCTGATTTTGACATATTTACAAAAAAGGTAAACAAATGTTTGGTGGTTGCATTTTCTTGAAAACGATGTACCTCTTTTTAAAACTTCTACTTGCCAAAAAGTATTTAATCGAAGTTAAAAATAAATTTTCAGTATATATTTTAAGGTTTGAAGGTATATTTAACCTTCATGCAACATTTTTTTGGCACAGGACAAAAATCAAATCAACAGGCAAATTGAAAAATCAGTTGTTTGAAATGAGAACAAACGAATTACAACGAATGTAAACACTTTCAAATGGCTTATTCAAAATGAGCCATTTTCGGGCAATGTAAACGCCGTATTACAACGAATGTAAACTCTTTCAAATGGCTCATTCAAAATGAGCCATTTTCGGGCAATGTAAACGCCATATAAGTTTCAACAATTTAATCAGTTTCGTAGCTGATTAAATTCAAAAATCTCGTAGACTTCTTTATGCAAAATTTACAGTCAGCTGGTATATTTTGCTTATATGTAAGCAGTTGTCTATTGCGTTAAAGAACTTTTGTGATTCCCTTCCTTCATGAGAAATGGAGTGCTGAAAAATTTCTGTTCACAATATGTCTAGTATTTGACAATATTATTGTGAACAGTTTTAAATAACAAATGAAAACAAAGTAGTTATTCTGAAGTTTCCGAACTACAATTCAAACTCATATTAATATATGAAGGAAATTTTTTTAATTATCAAAATTAATTGAAGATTTATTATTGCTGTAATGAGTCATTCTGGCGAAGAGCATTCAAGGCATAAGAAGCTGCTTGAAAAATTAAGCAGCGATGAAGATGAAGAAAACGAATCAAAATTAGTCCACAAGGACCAGCAATTAAATTCAATAGAAGAAGAGAATTATTCGTTTTCTGTAAGTATATGTGAAAAATACTTAGCTTTAAAAGGTTAAACAATATATGATGTATTATTGAAGAATAATGCTACTTGTTGGGTCTGTAATGGTTTTTATGGTCCAAATTACGATGAACCGACTTGCGGAATTTGTCATGCATTTTTGTATACAACGGAATTGGGTGAGGAATATGAAACTACAATTTCTGATGACGAAGACTCGGGTAACGATGAGCCACCTTTCAAAGATAAGCAAGACGATGATGAAGACAACAATGCCGTTAATATAGTAGATCATGAAGTAAATAGTGATAATATACATGATGATGTGAACTCAGTGGTGAATGTAGATGATAATAAACAGGTTGATAATGATGTCCAGAAAGAACTTTCTTTGTTAGCAATACAGAGACCGAATCCAACAGCACCACGTTCTTTGCCTCATTATTTGGAATTGCTGAGTGACGCACGGAAAAATCGTCAAGAAAATCAAAGCGATAGTACAACACATATAAGTGCTTTGCCAGTTGAAATAATGGTGATGATTTTTTCAAATTTAGATGATATGTCAATGTGGAAAGCGAGCGAGGTATGTCAACAATGGCATGATATAATAGAAAAGAACACCTCACAAGTAATGTGGAAAAAGTATCTAAAAGAACGTTGGCCACTTTTTAATGATATGACAAACGTGCCAAATTGGTTAAATATGTATGGTGCTTTGATGTATTCATGTTTCTGTCGCACATGTTTGGTGCAAATGGCTTTTAAATCGCCATCAGCACATGCCCGTCAAAATGTGATTCGTTTGAATTATCTCCGTAATGATATTTACTTATTAAATAGTTATGCAACGGAAGGAATTGAAGCTATTCCTTTGGACAAAGAAAATAATCAGTACTGGCAAGCCAGTATATTGGGCCCAGCAGGCAGTCCATATGAAGGAGGCAAATTTTATTTATTTATATTTCTTCCTGACCGGTAACAATAATAAATTAACTATATCTATATCTTAATATATAATATATTCATTCTTTATAGATACCCAATGATTCCACCAACAGTGCGGTTCCTTACTAAAATATTACATCCAAATGTCTCTAGACATGGTGATGTTGGAATTGATATATTCCAACACAAATGGTCGTTGGCTTTAACAATATGCAAAGTTTTATTGTCAGTTCAAAGCTTACTTACTGATCCTTATACAGAGGTATGTTTTTCATAATTTTAATTTTGATTTTTATTGGGAATTAAAATCTGTTAATATAGTCATCAACATGTTAAGGAGAAACCAAGAAAACGGATATGTTCGGTCAGATATATAATATAGTTGTTTTGTTTTAATATAAAGTAAACGCAAGTTATTTTGTAGTGAAATTATAAATGTTGATATTTTTAAATTAAAATAGAAAAATAGATATATGATTATACAAAAACTATTATTAAGGAAGCCAAATATATAATTCTTAAATTATTTTAAAAAGTGTAAAAATCGTTGTTAGTGTTGACTTTTAAAACTCAAAACGAGTAATTAAAATTGTACTAAACTCGATATGCATGCTGTTCCGCCGTAACATTCTGATAGTTTGTTTTCGTTTTTTATGTTGATATTCTATGAACATATTATATTTTATGTATATTCCATAGTTCGAAGCTGAGAAGTGATGTCGTTGTAAATTTTTTTCTGTAATTTTCTTAATAATATAGCTTATATATTGTATAAAATGCTTGATCCTTTGCTATAAGTTTGATACGTTTTAGCGAAAATTGAACTTTCTGAATAACATTATGTTTGATATGCTCTTAAAATATTACCTATTCAGTGTATACATTAGAGACCCTTTGACTATTAGCACAGTGATAATGATTATAAGTCTCAAACGTTTCGCATTTGAAGGTTTTTTGATCACATATTATTTATTTCCTTATACATTATAGTGCAAAATTGTCAGAGAGAAGCTTTTTTAATAGAAGTAGGAGAATTATTGAATGAAAAATATCTGTAAAAAATATCAGGGAATCATGGTAAGAATTATCTTTAGATATATCATTTGAATAAACCAATTTCTTTTGGATTTGAATAGGTTAGCTACATTTTTGCAGATAATTAAGAATCTACCACAGCCCTGTTTGTGGGATATTTTCCTTATTCGTTTCGGTGATAGTCACGCAATAGTTTGCAAATTTCTAAAGTTTAACGCTATCGTGCTGCTCTGTAGCATGAAATTGTTTAAAAACTTTTCGGTATAAAGTCTAAATTTTTTACTAAAAATTTCAGCTCTATAGTCCTAAAACAAAAACGCTAAATCATCAAAACTTTGAAACTAGATACCTTCTCAATCGATCAATTACAAAGTTAATTATTTCAAAATTTATTGTTACGACAAGACACTCTTGCCTAAAATGATCATACTGCCCAGCCATAAGACATATATCATTCTAATTTATTTAAAAATAAATTTTATATTCTTTATTTATTTATTATTTTTATTTATTTATTATTTTTATTTATTTATAATTTTTATTTATTTATTATTATTATTTATATATTATTATTATTTATTTATTATTTTTATTTAGGTTGTGCCAGATTGCAATGAGATAGAAATATCTTAAGTAGCCGGATTTTAATACGGGACCTCGAATATCTTACTTATGGAACCATTTGCTCTTGTAAATCACAAATATTTTTAATCACTGTAAACCTCTGTAAGAGTGTTAAGCATCGAATGTTTGCATACGACATTTGCCTTGCTTCTACCTGGGCAGCTGCAAAAAAGTGTTCCTCTGTTTCTTCTGCCCCCGCATTTCGATAATATTTGAAATATTCTTAGAAGTGAACTCCTAGCCCGTAATTCAGAGCGTAACAACCAAATTGCTAGTGACTGATTATACAATGGTCTCAAAGATGTACTCTCTTGGTAGGATGAGCAGATTTTTCCAACCAAATATTTATTATACCAAATATTGATCACATTACCTTAGATGTTACACAAGTGCCAATATTATCCTTAGATCTGTTAGTTTGTTGAACAACGCAAAAAATAATTTAAAAACACCGATAGGCATTTTACTGTCGCTTTTGTCTGTGCTCAGGCAAAAATTAGTATCCTAATACTATTCCTGAGACTGTAGTTTCAGTCTTACAGGTTGTGTCTCGAAACTTGTACTCAACATACTCCAAACAGGTTGCTGGCTACTCAATGTAAAATATTTATTTATTTCTATATATATATATATATATAAGTGCATGAAATTAAAAAATTATTCCTGAAATAAAATAAAATTTTATATTTCTAAATAAAATTAAATTTTTTTGTTTTTGTTTTATAGATTTGCATGGAGCCTGAACTAGGTTATATGTACGAAAATAATCGTGAGCGTTTTGAGCGTTTAGCCCGCAGATGGACATGGAAGTACGCAATTCTTGAACTCATGCCACCAAATTGATGAATGAATCATTATTAAAAAGATTTTAAGTTTTTTTATTTATTATTATAAAATTATAGTTTAAGTGCTCACATTTGACTGATTTAAAATTGAAAGTACATCTACTATTCCTTATCAAGAACTTTAAAATTACTCGTATGTTAAGAGTCCCTTTGTTTTGGAGATTTGTACACCTTTTAAATGTATTATTCAAAGCATTATAATTATAAGAACATGGCATGACAATATATGGAATATGAAAAATATAATTTTGAATATTACAGCATTTCTGTTAGTAAAATTTCAACGATTTTGTAGTCAGATAAACCAATATATCCATAATCTATATGTTAAGAAGCTTATTCTAAGCATATATTATATATATATAATATAATTGATATAAAATTGATAAAACAATTTGCTTGGATGAGTTATGAAAATAAAATTATTTATATGAAAATGATCTAAACTGAAAAGCTAACAGATATGTATATATATAAAAACTTCATTGCTTCATTGTTTGTAATATATTATTTAAATATTTATAGTTTTATAAGTTTAAATACACAGTGAAAGTTCTGTTAAATAAATATGCTTCTACAAACGGAAGGGTTTCCAGTTTTTATTTTTCTTACAAACGACGTTTTTTAAATGCACGTTCTAACCGTTCTACTGCTGCCGTTGCACAGTGTGACAAAACACAAAATTAGGCGGTCATAATTCGATATTTTCGGAACGAGTAGAGAAATTGATATGAAATTTTCCTAAAATATAGTTTTTGAGTTGATCTTTCTTTTAAATCTAAATTTTTGTCCAAACATGGGTATTTTACCGTGGTCCCAAGATTACTTAAAAACTATGATAGGTAGAAAGCTGAATTTTGGTGTCCAGAAAACTTACATTATTAATTAGATTCCAAAATTTTTTTATGGTTTTCCGCCCACTGAAACACCCACCCCCCATACAAAATTTTCATATTAAATCATTTATTATCGTTAAAAAACACTTTTTGCACTTATTGGACTACATATATAAGTGACTTACATAGCAACACAACTTTATGCAAAAAATGGGCGCGATCCGCCTATTAGTTCCTAAGTTATTTGCAGTTTATGCAACTTTAGCGAAATTATGATTTCGTAAAACTTGAACCAACTTTAAACCCTTTTAGCTTTTTTACTATTTATTCAAAAATGATCATTTTTAATTTTTTTTAAAGCTTACGATATTGTTATTCATTATGTGTAAAAAAAATTTCAATTTTAATTATCAATAAAATTTTATTAGCGAAATTGCACAAAAAGTCAGTATTTTTTTCATGGCCATTTTCACTTCTATCTGCGATACCCAAAAAATGTATCCGAGTTTTTTCATGAAATTTTTCCTATTAATAGCCAAATAGTTACACTTTACAACAAAAAAAAATTGGCCTGCGCACTCTATGTTTTACATCTATTTCAGGCCTCAGAAACCAGCGAAAAATTACGAAAAATATGATCTTCAATAAACCTCATTTATTTCAACAACAAATTCAATAAGTAATAACAAAAAGACATTTATAATTTTATAAATATTTAATTTATTTATATTTCAAATTTCAACTAAATCGGTTGAAAAATAACGAAGTTATAATACATTATGTTCAGACGCCTGACCGGAAGTATGATCAAAGCGTTTAGCCTTGAATGTACAGCTATTCAATTTCAAGATCAACTCAAAAACTATATTTTAGGAAAATTTCATATCAATATCTCTACTCGTTCCGAAAATATCGAATTATGACCGCCTAATTTTGTGTTTTGTCACACTGTGCGTTGGTGTTCACTTAATAGAGCTTTCACTGTATTTAAAGCTGATGTTAGAATTCTAGCAGTGATACATTTAATTTATTTTTATAATTTCTTATAAACTCAATGTGGATGTATAAATTGTTCTATTTTTTAAATAATTTTTTATAAGATACAATATAAATAACTGAAGCAATTCTTTGTTATAATCATTAAACAAATAAAATGAGAAATTTATTTATACAAACAGATTACTATTGAATATGGAAATTAAAATCTAAAAATTTTTATTTAGCTATTTATGTTTTTATAAAATTCGTCTTTGTGAAAATAATAAATTATTAGTTGCATTTTTAACCATCTTTAAGGAAAAATGTCGTGTTTGTATAAATATATTATATATTTGTCGTGATTAAGTTAGTTCAGTAGGTGCGATGAGCTGAGAAGCAACATGGTATACTGGCGGTGCTGTAGGGTCAACTATGCTGATAAGGTTCTGCATAGATCACTGAAGTTAAGAGCAGTTCCATAATTAAGCGAACACCTTGTATAGTTAATATAATTAATAACAAAGTGCCTTAAGAAATGGGCTTATGATTATATTAATTAATTTTTTACAACTATGTACTTCAACTTCTGAAATAGATTAATAAATTATATTTAAGCTCAAGACAATTTTGATTCAATCTTTGTCTCTACAGTCACACATCCGGCGAGTTTTACTTTTCGAGTTAATATATCCTGTGTTCTAGGTAACTTATCGCATAATCATATCTAGGGGGCGTATAACTCTTTCTTACACATAAAAATAAATTAATATCTTATAACAATTATAATAAAATTATCAATAAAAAAATTTAAATTTCAAATTATTATTTTAATTATGCGAATGGTCTATCATGATCGGGTGTTTCCGGTACATATCTAGATTTCCATTTAAATAACGTCATATTGAAGTTGAAGGCATATCAATATTTTCGTATCTCACTGCTACTAACTAAATAACTAGCAAGATGTTAGTTATGTCATATTAGCTATTTCCTAGATATCTTAGACGTAAATGGATTCACTGGAACCTGTTTTGTTATAATCCAACTAGGCGAAAATTTATTTGTTAAAACTAATTACGAATGTGTTTTAATTTTATATCTTCAAAATGAATAATTATTAATTTTATTTTAATTGTAAAATAATGTCAATTTCTATGGATAAATGGTCAAGGCAGAAAGTGATGGAATATAAATTCGTAGAAATAACAAATTTGTTAAAACCTTATATGTTGACATCTTAGTCAGAAAACTCACTATTATGACAAAACTCTTCCTCCGAAAAATATCAGACCACTTTACAATATAAGAGTTTTAATATTATAACTCTCTAAAGATTACTTTTAATTCAATATTATTTATTTATTTACTAACTTTTTATTTCTTCTTCTTCATATTCCACGAACACATTTCTTCACAACTTTAATCAATCCGTTTTTTCAAATTCATAAATTTTTAAAAATACACATACTTTTTATTCATTCTATTATATATAGAGAATAGGTTACTTATCGTTATATATGGTATTGTCGATCTTTATATAGAGTTTATCTATTAGAGAGTTTTTGTGAACAGTTTCAGCTCAGTTTACATGAAAGATTTGAATAACCAACACATAATTATTAAAACAAACAATTATAAGTCTGTCTACTTAAGCACCTGACATGGTAGATTCAGTAAAGTATACAAGTTCATATACAACCGTTACAGATAATAATAGTAATAATTAATATTAGTTAAAACTCAAATACTTAACAATACAGTGACTATAAACGAATAAATACGAAGCTAAGTGAATATAGCACTATAGCTTCTGACTATCTATAGGAATTTAAGAAACATGCTTTATAACAGCACTTTTTAAATCTAGCTATGCCCAAAGTGATTTAATTTCTATATAAAGCCATTCCATTCATTGTAGATTGTGATTTCATGTGAAATAAGTTTAATGTAAAATTATTATATATATCTGTACGTTTGCTCGTCATTATTTGGAGTCGTTAATGCTGTTCTATTTAATTAGAATTATAATGCGAAAAAATTAGAAATATATTCCGATAATCTTTTTTGGATTTACTATTAGCTCTAAAATCAAAAATGTAGCTTAAAATAATGGATACTTTAGACTTTTTAGCGTGAAACAGCATAATGTTTCGTTTTGAGGAGAAAATATAAATGTTAACTAAAAGGAAACTGATATCATCCGATCAATTGAATTAATTTTAAAAATATCAGTTAAATTGAATTTTGAATATGAAAAATATTAAATAAAAATTATGTATAGCTTAACTTCCATTTTCTCAGTTTGTGCAGCCTTTTAATTAGTTCAGTAGGCGTTTATTTGATATTCAATTTGGCCACCTTTTGGAAATTCTATGTAGACACTTGTTGATAAACACTTGCATCTTTCTCTCTATATGTTTGGAGCGCTTCCATATTTCACAGTCGCAGTACAAGATAGATTTCATATTTGTGTTAAAGATTGGTTTTTAACTATACTAATACAAAATAAAATAACAATCATTTTAAAAAATGTTTCAAAGTAATGAATATCAATTGTATTTAAATGTGTTAGAGACATGACTACAAACTTGGTCGTGAATAATGAGATTGGATGTTGAATGCATGGTAACTAAAAATAATAATTCAATTTATTGGAGAGTAAGAATAGAAAGTGAATTAAAGTGTTTCCCGGAATTTCAAAAAGACGAGGTTAACTATCGTCATTTAATAATACTGTTAGCAGTGTATTAGCAGAATACAGTACAAATAAAAATAATATTTTTCAATTCATCTATAACACCAAAATTGTTGGGTGATTAAAAAATCACTGATCGAAATTTGAAATCTCCTACAACATGAGTGTAGTTTCAACACCAACTCAAAGTACAATATCAAAAGAGCAAATGCGATAAGGTTATTATCAATAAATAAGCTAAAAGTAAGAATTATAGAATAACCCTATTAGATTACAAAAATAATATAAGATGTAGATGAGTATGGAACTCAGTTACAAACTTGTGAATTTAATTGAATGTTAGTACGAAATATAAAACATTTGTCACATCTAACATACATGTCAGGGATCTGGACTAACAATATTAAAATCGGAAAACAGTTTTAGTTTTACGGCAAAGGATGTGATATAATGTTTACTGGTATGCCGACAAACTGCCTCTTGAGCACTGTTAAGATTGCAGAGTTTATAAGTTTTATGTTTTCAATTTTCTCTGAAATCACTTTAGTACCTCGAAATGTTTTGTGCTCGCCTTTAATCAGACGATGACTGTATTTATTATAGTTTTCAAAAATCTAATAGTAATTCAAAGATCTACAAGATTGCAAAATAGTTTCACTTGTTGATAATTACTTCGAATTGAACTGAATTCAAAATTCTGAAATTCAGATTACTTTGCAAAATGTTCTAATTGAGTCTTGGAATAGTTCAATTGTTTCAATTTTTATAAGAAATATGTAAGAAATATGAAAAGGTATT